CTGTTGGTTAGGCAGAACTGATGGGTTCAGGGTCTGTGCTTTAAGTTAAAGGTTCTAGGTGAACCAAACTGTATGCTTGTGTGTGTGAGAATAAGCCACGTTACTTTATTTTATTCACCTGATTGTTTTATTTACCCTGTTTGTATTTAAAATAAACCTTATTCTTTTATTGTTTAAAAATCCATCCCTGGTCTGTGTGACTTATTATAGGGAATGGTTGGTGGCAGCTTAGTAACTGTGTGATAGATCCCAGTAGGTCTGGGTTTGTCACATTGATTACGTGCCGCTTTCTCTTGGGAAGTTGCAAGGAGCCTGGGGGCTCTGGGAAGACCTTCGGATGCTCACCGAGGAAGCCACCTCCAGCTTATGACAACGCTTCCCTGCCTTAAACCTGACTGAGGGATCCAGTTAGACAGGAAGGGGTGGAATGAGGAAGAGGAGGGAGAGCCTCGGGACAGAAGAGGCTGGAAAGGCCACCCGAGGGGGTGGCTGGTAAAGAGGGACCGTCCCAGTGCTCATTTAATTTTTTTTTTTAAAAAATCAGCTTTTAAAAATATAAATTGGGTGTTATTGATTTAAATCAAATGTATTTTAATGAAATGCTTTTTTGGAGGAAAATATATCTAAAAGTATCCGGTTTAAGATACATTATAGTTCAAAGATTGTTGCATGAAATATTACTTAGTTATGTAGCATGAAGCTGTATATTCATACAGTACAGTGGTGCCCCGCATAGCGACGTTAATCCGTTCCGGATTAATCGTCGCTATACAAAACCATTGCTAAACGGAACATAAAAAACCATAGGAACGCATTAAACTTTGTTTAATGCGTTCCTATGGCTCCAAAACTCACCGTTCAGCGATGTTCCTCCATAGCGCCGCCATTTTCGCGCCCTCGGTAAGTGAGGGCAGGGCGCGAAAACACTTGCGGCGGCCATTTTGGGCACCCGGCGGCCATTTTGTATCCGCCGATCAGCTGTTTAAAAAAACATCGCAATTCGAAGATCGGTAAGCGAAACACTTACCGATCATCGCAATGCGATGTTTTGCCTATACAGAACATCGCAATGCAATCGCATTAGCGATCTAAAAAATTAGATCGCTATGTGAATTTGTCGTTAAACGGTGCGCTTGTTATGCGAGGCACCACTGTATTTACATTTTTGATAAAATAATTCAATTAATCCAAGTTCTCTAAGCTGAGATAACATGAACTTTTTCGCAGTTAAAAATGGTATAAAGTTCAGGAAAAGACCTTAATTCCATTGTTGTTATGCCAGTCTATGTATAAACAATGAACACATTGATGTTGAAGCAAATACAAGAATATGCATGCTATATAATGTTATTGTTTTAGTTAAATAAAACAATTTAAGTAGTTATCCACATATGAGTGATTTACCTATTAAACTAAAATCTGTCCTGATGTACAGTAGCTGTTTTACTAATCTGACAGGTTATTATTCAAAATATGAAATCTTCATCTGGTTGCAAATACTAAAGATTATAAAGATCAGCAAGAATGAGTCTTTACATTTAAAAATCTTGATTTAAATCAAATCTTATGGACTAGTGATTTAAATCATGATCTAAATTGTGATTTAAATCAGTGGTTCTTAACCTTGGGTTACTCAGGTGTTTTTGAACTGCAACTCCCAGAAATCCCAGCCAGCACAGTTGGTGGTGAAGGCTTCTTCACTTCTTCTGGGAGTTGCAGTCCAAAAACACCTGAGTAACCCAAGGTTAAGAACCACTGATTTAAATCACAATTTAGATCATGATTTAAATCACTAGTCCATAAGATTTGATTTAAATCAAGATTTTTAAATGTAAAGACTCATTCTTGCTGATCTTTATAATCTTTAGTATTTGCAACCAGATGAAGATTTCATATTTTGAATAATAACCTGTCAGATTAGTAAAACAGCTACTGTACATCAGGACAGATTTTAGTTTAATAGGTAAATCACTCATATGTGGATAACTACTTAAATTGTTTTATTTAACTAAAACAATAACATTATATAGCATGCATATTCTTGTATTTGCTTCAACATCAATGTGTTCATTGTTTATACATAGATTGGCATAACAACAATGGAATTAAGGTCTTTTCCTGAACTTTATACCATTTTTAACTGCGAAAAAGTTCATGTTATCTCAGCTTAGAGAACTTGGATTATCTTCATGAACATTCAAGGGAATTCAACACCTGATTGGAAGATTCTCTGGAAGAGTTCAGAAGCTGAAGCCTGATGCAAAAATGGGGACAGAACTTACTTTAGGTGGCTTAGTTATCTCTCAGGAAATATGCTATGCATATTAAGAAATGCACTTTGTGTATGCTTTGAGACTAAGTTGAAGCTATGTTAAAGTGAAAGTACTAGATTAGTGCAGTTAGCTCTCTTATTTCCTTCTTCTGTATTGCTTCTCCCTCATGCTTTTAATTGATTATTTGCTCCAAAACCTTTTTGACTATATATGCAACTGTTGACATTACTTTCTGTTCTTTCTGACATTTTACCATCTTTAACAAAATATAAAATTTCTTCATACAGTTGTTTGCCTTTTTGGATTAAGAGGGTTTGTTGTGCTTAAAACTGGGCTTCACCTTGACCATCTCCCAAGAGCTTATATGTTTTATGAATACTGTGCCATTTCTATGTTGCAGGGTTGGTGTAAAGTCATAGCACTTAACCTTATGAATATTTGGAAACTCCCTAATAGCACTGCTTAGCTGCGTAAGACTGAGGTGTTGAGAGGGTGCTGGGCAGGTCGAATCTCCAAGCCATCAACACATTTGGTCCTCCTGGGTTCATGCACACCAAGGCATGGCAGCATAGCTAATTGGGCCTCCCTGAATTCAGTGATCCTTAACATATGATACCACTGTAAAGCAAAAACGTACAAAGCAAGAAATTAAACTGAACATTTTACTTTGGATGATACATTAAAATAAATTCAATAAAATGCCTTAATCATTGTGTCACTTGTAATTTAAAAAAAGCTACGCTAAATTCAGATTATTTTGTATTAATTCTTCATATTTAACTTCTTGTAGAGGTAACTCTAAATTAATGACTTGGAATAAACCTGTCATTCTAAATGAATTTGTCACCTACTTAGAGTAGTCTAGAGTAGGTCTACTTAACAATAAATTATTTGAGAGCTATAAATAAATACTATAAAACTATAAAGTTACTAAGATAATAATTTGGCTCTGTTTTAAAGGAGTGCTCACAGACATGCACTGGAATAACCCTGAATGCAGAGTGTCTAGCCAGAGAATGATGAAGTTCTTCAGAAAATAAGGGGTTACTTTAGATTAAGAACTATGTGCTATTTACTTTAAGAAGATGCAATCCAGAAAAGGTTCCCAGAGGTAACAACACACTCAAAGTTCGTCCACGTCACTACCATTTTTCACCTTTACAAAAATGTATTGTTTTATATAATGGACCTTTACTACTAGTGAAATAAACTGTAGAAGAGCCTTTTTATAACAAAATATGCTGTTGCCGTATTTTAAAAAGGGAAAGGCATATCCCTCTGGATTCTGCTGTCTGTCAGCAGATGTCAAGTGTTGGCTCATGCCCTTTTAAAGCAAGATTATATGATTAAAAATAAAATTTCTTGCTGCTTAATGGTAGTTGCTTGCCTCAGGAGAGTTATTTTAGCCCCCATTACAACCTCTGTAGCTGCGTTCTACATGGCCCACAGCTGGATTTCAGGCAACTTGTAAGGTGCAATCTGCTTTCCCAAGTGAAATGCAAGTAAATATTTTGGACAATGCCAATGTTACAAAACATGTTTTGTGGGCAAAGTACATTTTGGAAGAGGGTTAGGGGAACTCTGCCCACATATTAAGAGTTAAGAAAAAGAAATACTGGCTTATGTGGCATTGACTAGATATATATTCCAATTAGGTCTGCCCATCCAATAAGATTGTCACAGCCTGAGAGTTTGGCACCTGAGAGAGGCCCAGAAAACAACCACCAAAAATCGGACCTTCTTGGCGGTAGCCCCAGGATTGTGGAATACCCTCCTGCCCAGAGTTTGCCTGGCCCCCTCACTATGCACCTTTAAAAAGCTATTAAAACCTGGCTGTTTAGACAGGCCTTCCCAGAGTAAATAACAACCTGATGCACCAATACCTCCGATAACATATTAATTAACATATTGCTGTGTTTTATGCTTTTAAATTATATTACTGTAATGCACTGTATTGTACCTCACCATGTCTTTCACCGTATTTATGGTATTTTAAGTTGCACTTTATTGTTGTTGTCGTATTATTTTGTTATTTTATTGTCTGTCTATTGTTGTAAACCGCCCAGAGTGGCCTTGGCTGCCAGATGGGCGGTATATCAATCAATCAATCAATCAATCAATCAATCAATCAATCAATCAATCAATCAATCAATCAATCAATCAATCAATCAATTCTCAAGTAAGCCCAAGTTATTTTTTGAATTGATTTTCAAGTAAGAATGTTTAGGACAGTAGGCTTAGTTGCTTGCTTATGATATAACTGCAATTTCTACAGGGGTTAAGCAATGAAGGATACTCCTTCCTGTGTATACACTGAAGTTTTTGGTATAGTTTTGTAAGAAAAAAATACAAACAAAGTGTAAGCTTTAAAAGATTAGACAGACAGAAAAAGTATTTCTGCTTTAGCTGAACAGGAACCAGTGGGACAAGTTAATTATGACTTGTTGATTTCAATGCAAAATAAAGCATGATGATTTCTTTTGGATTCAACTCCTTGACTGCAAAGAGATTGCCTAGAGCAGCGATGGCAAACCTATAGCACGTGTGCCACAGCTGGCACACGGAGCCCTTTCTGCCGGCACGCAAGCCATAACTCGCCAGATCGCTACTCCCCCCCTGCACAGCCAAACCTGAGAAGGCGGCCTAGAGGGTCTGTTCTTGATGATGTACAGTATATAGAATATAGAGCCTCATCAAATGTCACAAATAATACAGCCAAATCCAGTAGAAGTTATTGTATCCAACACCACCAGCTATTAATACAAAATTAAGCTTCTTGCTGAATTGGAAGAGAGAGTGCATGTGAGCACATGGACAAATACATGTAATTTCGCCAGGATGTTTGCAATGTCAGCTTTGGCAAAGCCAATGAATTGAGGGAATTAGTCCAGCTTCCTCTCCCCTCTACTGAAATAACAAGAATTGTATGGCAAGCATTAAAACAGGTCCTGCCATACTGGAAGCCACTTATTAACAAAATACTGATTTAATATATTCTTGACAATTGGCTATCATGCTTGAAGCAAAACGTGGAATTTTAACAAGCTTTTGCTTAGTCTCTGTACTTGGTTTATTGGCTGTACTGGACATGACATGTTACCAATAGTGCAAGGCCCTTAGAATCAGGTACTAGAGAAAAAATATCTGGGGAATGGCTTTCATTTACTTTATCTGGACTGATTGGGCTTCCCATTAGATAAGCCATGAATTATGCCTCCACTCTAATCTTGACTATTGCATTTTTATTGTACAAAGGGCTTTGACACTTTTATCTAATTTATTTATTTCTACAATAAACTTATACATCAGATTAGGCAGGCAGATTATGATTTGTCCAAGGCCACCAAGCAAACTCCATGGGATTTGTAGCTATAAAATATCAAAGGTTCAAGGTCTCAGCAGATCTCCAGTGGCTGAGAGATGCTATTGGAGTCCTCTAGGTTTTATTACAGCAATATAAACAGCAGCAGCACCATCACCATAGTGACGTACCTGGTTCTTTTGACCTCGCATAACATCAACTTCATATTCAGCATACTGAGGATCCTGAGCTGGGTCCTTGACTTCTTTGAAAACACCAATATTCTGAAATCAAGACAGCAGAATAGTCTTACTTATCCCCTTGCTTCAGTATGTGGCAAAACCTTTTCAGTCAAAGCAGTCCATTTCTTTACAGACAACTTTCCGAGGCCTCATACCAGCAAGTGGATACACATTCATACACATACATTTATACATATCCACACGTACAGCCACAGATGCCCATTCATACATTATGACACACAAATGTAAACAATTTCATACATAACAATCTCATACACACTCAAACACTCTTAGAACACTTGTTAGATTTGGGAGGAAACCCAGATATGTTCTCACTGGAGACCATGGGAGTCTTTTTTAACAGGCCTGATGATGGAATGATAGCACACAGGGTGATCAGGATGGCAACACATGGGAAGATTATGCTTCCCTCCCAAGGCATCTTCATTACAAAGATCACAGAAAGCTGCTATTCCATACCAAACATAATGCTCATCTTCAGCGTCAGAGACAGTATGCCTGCATCAGTTGCTAGGGGACGTGACAAGGAGAATACACAGTTGCACCCATATGGGTAGGTTTCCCGTAGGGAAGTGGCTGGCCACTGTGTGAGCAGGATGCTGGACTAGATAGGCCTACTTTTGGGCTGATTCAGGAAGGTTCTTATGTTTTCTACATCACCCCAGGCAACTCATTTCGCTTCCACGTTGTGTGCTGAGAATGAGCAAAGCACAGAATGCAGCAACTTCCCTAGATAACTCACTGAGAGGAATGCAAAAGCAGAGAAGGCTATGGCTGAAAATAAGTTGCTGCGGGCTGGGCAGGGAGTCCTCATAGGCCAGACCCATCCCTTGGGCCAGCAGTTCCCAACCCACATCCTAGAATGCGTGTTTGTTCACCCCCACCCTCTCTCTCTCTCTCTCTCACTGGCAGGACTGCAACACAGGTGGGATTGCAAGGATACCCATCTACCAGGTGTGTAATGCATATAAAATGTTGCCTCAACTGGGGGCTGACTAAGCTTTTTAAAAAAGGAAAGAAAAAGACCTAATTGCAAGAAGCTAGTTCATAAAATCGACATATGCTGGTCAAACTGGAAGCCCCCCAGAAGAGCAAAGTGTTCCCAAAAACAAAAGTGCCATGTACACTGTATATAAAACCCCAGCCAAGATACTGCATTTCATGTGTCTAAAAAGACAGATATAAAAATTCCCCATCTTAAAGATGCCACAATACCTTTGTTTTTGCAAAGGCTAACTCTCTGGAAAAAATGTTTCCAAAAGCAACTGTCTGAGACTACTCTAAATAAGGCTTGCATGACGAAAACAAACCTAATAAGATGATGTGATTTTAAGGGCCTATATGACACAGCACTAGAGAGATTAGGAGTATTGTACTCATGTACATTACTGTGACATGCCACAGTCTAAATGTCCAAGACTCTATTAAACCAGTTTCTGACTGCATCTGAACCAGCTAACTCTAGATTGAATCTCGTACTACAAACCAAGATATGAACCCACGAGTATGTTGAAATTATTTGGAAGTCTCAGTTATGAATGGGATCTAGGAATACCTAACTGGATATTGAAATGCAGCCTGCACAATTAGCATGTCCTATGAAAGGGATCAAGAATACTAAAAGGAGATTTTTGATAAATAAAAATATCTGCATACTTTTGGTGGAAATGCCTTCTCAAATACTTTGTTCCATAGATCCATTGGAGTCTGGGCATTCAGTTTTCCTATATCACTCTCAGCAGCAGGAGGGGGCCCTAGAAAGCATAACAATTTTAATTGTATTTACTCCATAATTTTAAAGAAAAGCAAATTACGTGATTCAGTTTATTTTTTTCAGTAATTAACAAAAATGTGTAGCCTGTATAATTAAATTGTAAACTGCCTGGAGAGTGCTTGTAGCGCTATGGGGCGGTATATAAGTCCAAAAAAAAAAAAAAGATAAGAAAACATAAACGTCCTAGGAGTTAATTGTACAGAACCATACTACAGAAGAAATGGGCTCCTGAGATTGTCAAGATAAACAACAACACTGAAGTCATTATATCAAGGCTGAAGTAACTCCAATTGAAATAATGAGGCTTAGTTTTGATTGGAGATATATTATCTATCTATCTATCTATCTATCTATCTATCTATCTATCTATCTATCTATCTATCTATCTATCTATCTATCTATCTATCTATCTATCTATCTATCTATCTATCTATCTATAGTATCATATTGCACGCCATGTGGTGACAGGTACTGTTAGCTGAAATAGTTGAGAGTGCAAAACTTCCCAATTTGCTTCAATAACAGCATGTTCAAATAAGTTTTACAAGTTTTCAAAAACATGTTTTCTTTTAGATCACTTCAGCCCTGGATTCTCAGTACTGAAAATGTTTTATTACATTAAGGATAGAACCAACCTATTTGACTGAGAGAGTCCATTCCTGCTGGAATAAACAGTGGCTTATTCTGATCCACTGACATGGATTTGCTTCAAAATATAAATAAAATAAAGATTAGTCATCAGTACGGATCAAAAGCAGAATCTGCAAAAGTAGGTTATCAGCATGCTCCATTGCAATCATGGACTCACTGAACAGGGAAATTTTAATTCCTGTTAATGTGGGTTCATGTAGACTTAACCTTATAACCAGATTGTTCCCCCTAAGTTCCAATATTTATTTCGCAGTTCTCCTAATATATCTGTTGATACTTTCTGCCTACTGGACAAGAAGGTATTAGCTAAGATTTTGCTTGTTGGTGATCAAGCCTATGAAGCCAACTTTTATTGAGTTAAATCACTGGTCCATCTAACTTAGCTTATCCTATTAAGAGATCTCCAGAATGTTAAAGTAAAACTTACATGAAACATCAGCATCACAAATAGTTGTCCCTCCAAAGACTTATTCCTTCAAAGCTGTCGCGTCTGAAAATCAATCTGCAAATTAAGCCTACTACTTAGCTCCCCAAGATCATGCACCAAATGAATGGCAACTAATTAGCAACCCACTGAACTGCAGAAAGTTTTCACCACCCTTAACTTTTAAGGAACCTTCACTTGTAATTTAAAGCTGGTGTCATTTACAGTTTGGACCTCAGGCAGGAGAACTTTCAAGTCATCTGAGCTCTTTTATTTGGAAATGCTAGACACTGACTGTGAGGACTGCTAAACATTAGTCCTTCTGTTGTCCTTCCCTGCAACTGTTAAGTTTGTCCGCAATATAAATTGACAAAGAACTGACAAAAAGAGAGTCTCTGCTCAGTCAATGTAAGACCCTGGGACAAGTTAGAAGTAGGGAATTATTTAGCTTACCCTCTATCAAAGCCAAATGCTAAATGGTTAATGAGTGTGCGTGTTTTCAACAGCAGAGCTTCAGATTTGCTGGTGAACTGAAAAAAAACATGAAGATTGTATCATGGTCTTCTTAGGAAAATATAGCAAAATATAACTGCCACTCTATTCAGAGAGACACCAGATCAAAAATCACACTTAGACAGTTGTATTTGTTCAAGTGGCCATCATTAAATCTACAGTATTTGGGGTTTAAGACATCACATAATTTAATATTCAGCTACTGATATAAATAACTGCATGTTCAAATACACTCAATGGCCTGTTTTTTTGCTGGAAAGTGGTGTCCAAAAAGACTGCCTTTTTGTGGGGATATGGAAGTGATGAGGGCATTTAAACATTACTTTTTCCATGCCTTCTCTCTTCACCTCCTGTCCTCAGACAGCTTTTCTTGCCGTCTCCTTTCTTTTGAGTGCAACGGAAGGAGATCTGGACGTTCTGTGTTAATATGCTGTGAAATGTAATTTGTCATTTTGTTCCTATCTATGGTTTCTCCATGCTGTCCTCAGAGTAGGATCCCAAATCAATAGCAAACCATTCTTTGTTAGGAAGGGCAGCAATAAAACTTGGGATTAGATCTTTTGTTGTTTTTTTCCCTTTATGCATGAGAGAATATGATCAGAAAATTCTGGTTTGTGGCATCTAAACTGATGCTTTGGCCGAATGCTTCTATATGTGCTGGGAAATGTTATTTATCAAATAAAAGTGTTGTCCATATTCCCTCAATGTACTAACATCAACTTTCATGAGAATAATGAATACAAATAAAAGATTCACTTAGCAAAAACGTACGTGCTGTAAAGCCAGAACTGACTTATGGTGGCCCTTAATAAGATTTTCAATGTGTGATATAAGAGTGGTTTTATCAGTTCTATCCCCTAACCAGTGAGTTTCCATGGCTAAGCAAGGATTAAAACCAAGATTCCTGGACTCCTAGTCCATCACTCTCTCCACTACACTACACAGACTAGCAAAAACTACTTAATGGTAGGTAGGTATGTAGGTAGGTAGGTTGGTTGGTTGTCTGTCTGTCTGTCTACCTGCCTTTCTTTCAATTCATATATCCAAGACAACTTACAAAATGGCAGAGGGCAATGACAGGTACAAAAATTAAAATACTGAACATGTTATCACATAAATAATATTATAATTTTACTTAACATAAAACATTTAAAAAGACAAAATGAAAAGGACATGCATACTGTATATTTTTCAAGAGCTGCAATGAGTTTAAAAAAGAAAAGCATCCTGTTAGAAACACTCTCTGCAATTTAATCAATGGCCGAAAGCTTGACAGAAAGGAAGGGGCCAACCCATACTTAGAAGGGGCTTCATAGAGAGTAGTCACTAAAAATGCTCTCTTGAGTTCTCACTAAATGTATCTGTGAGGGTAGTGAGACCAAGAGGAGCGGCTCTCCCAGAGATCTTAAAACCATGGGAGGCTCATACAACCTGGAGCTAAGCTATATAGAGTTTTATAGGTCAAAACCAGGACTTTGAACTTCGCCTAGAAATGGACTGGCTACGTACAACTGACCCTAGTCAACAATTTGGGTGCAACATTTTGGACTACTTGGAGTCTCCAAACACTCTTCAAAGGCAACATATAGAGCATGTTACAATAATCCAGACAGGAAACAAGTAATGTGATAATCAGCAATTCCCTGCTTTCAACCTGCTTCCTAACTGACTTACTGCCACTCTTGGATAAACATTTTTAAAAGGGAAAATAAAATGACAAGAATGCCTTTATTTCTTAAAGTTACAAAATGGTACATGGTATTCTAAATGCAACTGAACGATGTATTTATGTAAATATATTGCATTCTGACAGTAATGATCAATTGGTCCCTAATATTCCCTAATATGTAATACGTCTTGCTTAAGTACTATTGCACTCTGATTCAACACTTTAAGTGACACTACTGGGACTTAAAACTGCTTAAGTTTGGCTGAGCTATGCAACTTACAGGAATATACATACCACTAAAGATGCTCCATAATAGTGAGAAACAAATCGAAGTGTCTTATATATTATTTTTTTCATCTCAGAGTCAAATTCCTATATGAATAAACAAACCAAAAAAGGCAATTAAGTTATTGTTTTCTATGTCATTTACAGTTAATAACCAATAAACCAAAATACGTATGTGTATACATATTGTTCAAAATAAACATTCATTTCATCCTAACAGTATTTTTAAAAATGCTACCATTCCCCATTGTTTATTTATTTTTCGGTTCTCCAAAAGATGATAAACAATTCAGCATCACTATAAAATTATTCATATGTCTGAAAACAAAACTGTTTTATCTAAAATAGTATTTCAAATGATAATCCTTGTTTTCATCATTGTTTTGGATAGGACTGAAGAATACAACTTATGGATCCTTCATTAATGGATACCCAGAGATGATTCTACCTACATGATTCATACCAAAAAAGTCTACTCCCTGGCTATTTTAACCATGTATGAAAAGATTTCTTTATGGAACAGTTCTTAGTGAATATACTTCTTGCTACGTCCAACAAGTATCTACTCATTCTAGTGTCAGAACCGTTGTTGAATAATTCTGGAAGATACTTAAAATACCTGTTGGCTATTTAACAAAAGAAGAAGAAAAAGAAGCCTGGGCTTTTATCATTATAAATTAACCATCGAAAGAAGGTGACTTGGGAAGAATGTGTTATGCTGCCATCTAGAGGACAGAGTGTGAAAGCTTTCCAAATCACACTAGGTCCTACATTTTGGAGCACAAACATCACATGAAAATTAAGACTGTTGTTTGATGTTACTATTAGAGGAAAATATTTCTTTAATCTTAAAACGACATTATGGAAATGTAGTATTTCTCTGCAGGGAGCTAGACTATCCATGTTTCATATTAAGTGTTGTCCTTCTATGGCTTCTATGACCTGTGGAAATCTCATCTTCATAACTTCACTTCCATAACTATCATATTTAATACCTTGATCCCAGCTTAACATGTATGTATTACTTACATGAAACAGATCATATTTGCTTCCAATTATAATCAGTGGAATTGGAAATGGGTCAATCAGTTCACGATCCTGCAAACAAAGTAGTGGTGTTTACAATGGTATTGTAATCTGGTTGTGTCCAGCAACACAACAGACAACACGTTAAGGTGTGCTGATGACACAAAATTACAAACAGCTTTAAATTTTGTTTAAGGGTTTGGAATAATTAAATTGTGGCAAGATGCTAACTTAGCTGGGAGAGGAGCTAGCAGATGCCAGCTCTGAAGATGCACTCAGAGCCTCTGTGAGCTTGTCAGCAACAGTTTGTGAACAGAGTGAAGAAACAGTTTCTGCATGTGTATTTAACAGGCGGGTCAAGGGGGAGGCAAGGAGTGCTGTACCACTGTCTACACAGGACAAAGGATACGGATGGTGAAAGAGCCACTGCAGTGAACTGCAATATCTGTGACGTGTTTGTCTTCCTGTGGAAACGTACACCTGCATTAAGCATAAACTGGCTGTCCTATTAGAAGAGAAGATCTGGAAACCTGAGATGCCCAGCCCACTTTCAGCTCATAAAGAAAAATTAAGCTTTTCTGGGCAGAACTGAGTAAACTGTTCTGGAAGAGTAACAGAGGGGGAATACTTCTAGGAAGAAAGAAGACAAATTGCAGGAGGTAAACTATTTAGACTTAAAGATGCAGGGTTTCTTTGAAAATGTCTTGTGTCCTTGGATCTACCAAATTGGTATCAGTGCCTCTGCAGAGATAGTGATTATGACCTGCTGGAAAGGGGACAACAGACAGCATGGAACTGGTCACTAGATTCAGCATTTGGAAGGATTTTTCCGACCTCCAAAGGTGTAAGAAGGGTGAGGTTGTGGTATGTGATTCCTTCCTGAGAGGGACAGAGGCAGCAATGGTTGTTTCTCTGGTGCAAAAATCCAGAATGCAACAAAGAGTCAGCCAAGATTCATCAAGGCATTGACTATTATCCCTTTGTTTTGAAATGTGCAAGAAATAACAAAGTTGCCAGACACAACTTTCAATGCATTACAAGTGACTAAGAAACTGTGGATACGAAGATGAAGGACCCTGGAATATAGGTGTTTTTCCATTACACTTTGTCCTTCCGTTCCTGCCAGGAATAAAGACAGGAATACTGGAAGTGCAAATACTTCTACAAATTGTGTTGTTGGTAAAAGTTTGGCTTAACTGTGGTCTGTGCTTTCATAAAGGACGATTTATGACAAGTGATAGTTTATACCTTACAGGGATTGCAAAGATTGGTATTTGTAAGAAATTTTGGATCCTGTTAGGGGAGACAACATTCCAGAACTCAGGAAGACATAAAAAATCCAGGACAAGAATGTGAAATTGAGATGGTAGAACCGGAACTCACCAATGAATGACAAAAGACAATAAAGAAGCAGCTGGAAAAAATAACCAATTGTTGTGTAAGTCTCTATATCAATAGACAAGGCATGGGAAACACATAAAATGAGCTTAAACTCTTGACACAAGAAAGCAGATATTAACTAAAAGGCATTATAGACACCTGGTGGAATGACACTCATGCCTGGAATACACTATTTTGAAAGGTGTAATTATTCAAGGAATACAGCAAATTAATTGAAGGGCTGCATCAATAGAAGTACGGAGTCCAAACTAAGGGAAGCAATAGTATTGCTCTATTCTGCTTTGGTCATACCTCATGTGGAATATTACACCCAGTTCTGCACACCAGTTTAAGAGAAATATCAAGACGATGGACTGTGTCTGGAGGACAACCAAGACAGTAAAAATCTGATAGACAAACTCTATGAGGAACAGTTGAAGGAGCTGCACATGGAAGATGGAAGAAGGTTGTTTTCTTGGTTCCAGAAGCATTGCTTCCCAGTTACAAGGAGGCTTAGACTAAACATTACGAAGAACTTACTGTCTGTAACAACTATTTGACAATGGAACACACTATCCAGGAAGGTAACACTCTCCTTTATTGCAGATTTTTTAAACAAAGGCTGGATGGCTGCCTTTCATGGAGGATTTAGCTGTGGGTTTCCTGCAATCCTAGAGAGCTTGATTTCATGACTGCCGAAATCTCTTCCTGCTCTCCAATTCTAAAGGATGAGCAGTAAATGTTTGAAAAAAAATAAGGAGGCTGGGGTCGGGGATAATTTCTTCTTCTCCAAAAGCCAAGAAACCTTTGCCTTCTTGCACACCAATATCACCATTATAAGGAGAGGGAGCTATGCTTCCTCCTGACCAGAAGAGTTGGCTCAGTGCAATTGGTGAAACAAGGGAAGAAGACATGCTCTCAAATGTTGATAGGTTTTGGCTAGCATACACTGAAGTGGCGTATAGAGAGGCAGAAATAAATTTACATATACTGTGCCTTTTTTAAAAAAAATTCGATATCACTGTGGTTACCTCATGGTATTGCTTTATAACCTTGCATTTTGCTCTATAGACTATATATACATTGTTTAGACACTGCATATGCATAACATTTGTACAAGATGAATGCATGATGCCAGGCACCTCTTCAACTGCATCTTTCCCAATCTATTTTACTTTCTTCAAGAGAGCACATTAGCAATTGAATTCCAAAGGCTGATATTAACATCCCTGAAATTTTATAATTGAATTAGTTGTCACATTATCAAAAGGCATTGAGTTTCTGATAGACACTTGAATAAATGAAAAGTATAGAGTCGTGCTGAAGACTGTTGTAGCTACACCCTTTCCTTATATCTGTAGCTTCAGTGAGTTGCTTTGCCAGATAACTTCTGTACAGTCTAGTCTTCACCTTCATTTCAAAAGGAGATTATACAATCAATATCAAACTGCTTCTGTAAAACTGTTTCTTTTGATTGTTGTAACATGCCATAACAATTGCATTAGACGTCTAAAAAGAATATATGAAAAACCTTTTCCCTCCTTCTGAATTTTCATTAAATTGCTATAATTTTCCACTGAACAATTTCTTTTACATGAAATGGATTTTCAGTCATGCATAAAACTCTAAAGGAATTGTTTATGATTTTCAAAACAATTATCTTTAACTGTATAAGCCTCTGACATCTGCAGAAAATACTAGTTCTCACTGGATGATCCTTTGGTAAATTGTTCCACATTTTCTGTTTAATTTCTGTTGCTGCTTTAGGATTCGTTTGCCCCAGTTTTGTTATAATTCTGTCAACATGCTTCCTAGTAACTTGCAGAAGGCTCTCCATGGCTGGCCAAAGTTCATTTGGTTTTGAAAGATCCAAAACAAGAACTATTGAAAGTGTCCTATAAAAGAAACAGGAAAACAAATAAAAAGATATCTTTATGGTTTTGAAGGCACTGGGCATTCTATGTATGTGATATAACTCATATACGTACAAATTTACTAGTAAACAGGACAAAAACCGCATTAAATAGGGAAGCAGCAATCTTTTTCTTCGAAAATGACTTGAATTCACCTGAACTTCATTGCCATGCTGTCTTATTTGCTGGATTTATAAAACTGCCTATTATGAACTCAGGTAATGTTCTTGAGTAACCAATCAGAGCATGGAAAACTTACTTTTTTAGATTAAAACTGTAACTGCTGACTACTGTTTAAATCTGCAGGTCACAATGGCCAAAGTGTGGAATTCTAGTTCAAACATTACCCCTTCCAGACTTTGATCAGATGTCACAGTACTCCTGAACCAAGGAAGTACAACGTGATCAGTTAACACCAACCATGTCTTGCTTCAACAAAACATAGATTCAACTATCCAGAGTTTCTCCATTCAGACATAACGATATTCTAGTTAGTTTGGAACAAGAACTATGCTGCTCCTTCTGACCATGCCAGAGAGGGAGTGGGAGGATACAACCTTAAGGCTTGCTTCTTTTCATTCATATAGAGCTAACTGATGAGAGTTATGCCTGGATGACATCCCCATCTAGCCCATCAGTTTCCCTTTTCGGCTTTTCCCCACTAGGCAGGAAATAAAAAGTGAAACAATATTAGAAAAGGCATTCTCTTGAAGTGGTTGCACTCCCCTGGTCAGCAGTATTTAGTCTGGGAGTGCTTCTTGACTCTGCACTGTATCTGGATTCCCATGTGGCAATGGTGACAATCTAACTCAGCAATCGTCATCTAGGTCTTAATTATGTCATGTCTCAACTACTGCAATGCACTTTACATGGAGCTATTCTCAAAGTGGGTCTGGGGTCTTCAACTGGTGCAATATACAGCAGCTAAGTTGTTAACCGGTGGATGATATCGCAATCATAGAGAGCTGATACTAAGAGACTTGCATTGGTTACTAACTGCCTACTGCTCCAATTCAAGGAGTTGATTTTAACCTTTAAAGCCTTAAATTATTTGGGGCCTGACTATCTAAGGGGCTGCCTGTCTCTTTATGAATCTGTCTGGACATGAAGATCTTCAGAAGAGACCCTCTTAAAAACACTCACAGTTTCAGAGACCCACCTAAAAAGTATGCAGACAATGGCTTTCTCCTGTGTGGCTCTCAGACTGTGGAAAGTACTCCCTTCAGAGTTACAATCTGTTACAAGCTGTTTCCTGACCTGGTGTTGTTTCTAACTGTTTTCTTCATCGTTTTTAATGCTTTTACAGTATTTACTTGATTTAAATAATTGTTATGATTGATACTTGATTTCATGATTTTTTGACTCAAATGCGGTTTTATCTGTTTTTCTTCTTTTCAGATGTTTGTTAGCAACCATGAGCACTCTTTTTAGTGGAAAAGTGAAGGTACACACATAATGAATGAATGGAGAACTAATGAACATTTGAAATTAAGAAACATGGTCTTTAAAGATCTGTGTAATGACAGAGAAAAGAGAGATTTAGAGTAGGGAAAAGGACAGAAACAAAATAGAGATTTATTTTGAAGTTGCCACATCCTTCATTTTTACCTTATGTTAGTTGTAGTTATTGGTACAGGAATCAGGTCCAACAGAGAAGTTCCACCACCTAGTTCCCAAAAATTAGCAATGTCTTTAGGCTGAAAAAAGTTACTTCACATTAGTAATCTGTACAGTACTTTGAGACATCACTAGCAGCAACATCATATAGAAGCCATGAGTGTTGTTTTGTACTGAAAATTGTGATCTATATAATTAAACTAGGCATATTCACATTTGAATATCGCTGATATACTGGTGACCGAAAAAGATTTCCCTTTAATATCAACAAGAACATAGCAATTATCTATCTATATTTTTCATCTTACAGACATTCATATAGAAATCAGCTTATCATAAATGTCCAGACCAGTTCCCAGCACTCAAAAACTCAAATCCTGTTGCTTAGTGTAGTAAGGCACACCAGAACTGACCTGTGAAATCAGTTGGGATTTGGTGAGTCAACTTCTCTATTAGTGTTTTTGATTCAAATGAAGGTACTCTAGTTGTGGCTTACTACATTAACTTGTAACTAGAGTATCAAATTGACCAGACAGGCGGGGTATAAATTAAATAAATAAATAAATAATAAATATATGGAAGAGCTGACCCAACAAATCCTCAATCATTCAATGAGCATACTCTAGAATGATTTAATACATGGAACAACAGAATTTCAGCCAACATTTCACTATAATTAGTACAAGTTAATCTTTCCCCAAGTGTCCAGCTCAATACAAATTTGAGTGCTGCCAGACATGTGGTTGTATGATTGTTAAAGGCAGCTTTTGGGTAGTACTGTACTTATGACATCTCTAATAATCTAAGAGACAGCCTGTTGTGATTTTAACACTACTGATGATTCACAAGAAACAGATGGCAACATAACTTGTTGACATACTCACTGTGTTGTGTCCTTTTGCTCGCCTTCCAAAAGTGTACTCCAAAGCTAGTGTTGGTTTTGGAATTTCATCCCTAAAAATTTAAGATATTCCCACACCACCGTTTATTAATTTATACTGAAATAAAATTACTTTTGCCTTAGTATCCACACAACTTATTTTTTTTAATTAACAAAAAGTGACAGATTAGATTGCATTTCTAAATAAAGTTCAATGAAGTGAGTTTGTATGAGACAGCAAAATTAAAATAGTAACTCCCCTTGAACTTGGCAGGAATTGTAAAGTGCTGAGAACTGAGTTGTGAAAACTGGAATGGAAAAACAAGTAAAGATATAAGGCAAAATAAAAGATCAGCCTCTGATATTTCTAAGTGACTAAATCTTTTAACAGGGCATTTAAAGAAAAGGAAATTTGGCAAAATGAATTAGAGATATTAAAAACAAAGATGAGTGGGAATTTATGTTCACAAATATAATAACATTTTCTGGAAAATAGACGTTTCTGGAGATAGATATTTTTAATAGTTGCATGTTTGGCAACACCAGGACTTGGGACTTGTATTATTTAGGTATTTATTTGCTTTTTCAGTTAGTTTCACAAAGTCTGTAATTCTAAACTCACAAAGAAATAGATCTCACTGAAATCAGTAGTCTTTACATCTGGCTAAATATGTGCAAGAATACACTGTAATGATATGGGAAACCTACCAAGACTTTAAGTTAAACACACACACACACACAAATATATATATATATACACTATCACAATAAATCATCTCTTAGTGCACAACCTGCACTCACTGAAATCTTAATATAAGGAAAATAAATTCATTATTTAGCCATCATGCTATTTAATGCTGAATAATAATGCTATATAGAGCTGTTTAGAAGTTGTTTTGGACTTCATCTCTCATTTACAATGCCGCGTAGGACTTCTGGAAGCTGAAGTCTAAAACATTCAAAGGAACAATGGTTGAGAAAAGCTGGTACAGAGGTGTTTTTGATTATCATGTTGATTATAAGAGAAATATGATTATAAGAAAAATAACCTATGAAATATGACTGCTCAGCTAAAATTCAATCCAGTGGTTTTTGTACAACCTCAAATAGGTGCTTCTGAGGTAGAAGGATCAGACAAAATGTGCTGTTGCTGCTCAGGGACACTTGATCGTGTTCACATTCATCAGGGAGTGCAATTAAATATTTGTTAGACTTCATAATACCTTATTCTCATTTTTGCTGCAGCAGACTAACATGGCTAAACTTCTGGAAATGAAAAAATATGCGCCAGGATCCAATTGAGTCATCACATTTACACAATTCTTGTTGCACAGGAATTTGCATTTTAGACCACTGCAGAAAGGAGATAAATATTTGTGGAGAAGTATTTATTCCACTTCTGCAGAAACAGCTGAGCTTTCAGTGAGTGTAATCCCTAATGAATCCTTACGTGGTTGCACAATGGGGTTGCTAGTTTGAAGCTTCCATGTGCACTGTCACTTTTGGAAGTGTGATTCAGCACAACTGCATACATGGACATTTAGGCTTTGTAAACACTGAACAGGACCTTGGCCTTTAAATTCAAGGCAATAACCAAAGGAAAGTATCATTTTGAGTTTTCATGACATATATGAAATATAAGGACCTAAAACTGATTAAGACTCTATAGGCCCAAATCAATATTCTGGAGTATTTATTGATCAGTTGAACCTTTTCTCCACTCAGGTCAAAGTGATACATTTAAAGGTTGTGGTAGCTCTTGATAAGACATCCAAAAGTGATGTCATCCAGAACAGAACATTGTTATGTTACATTCTTACAAAGATATTAATGATATTTAGAATTCTGAACACCATACAAATATGAAATATTTCTCACAGTGAAACCACATACCTGTCAAGGCACCTCAGTATAATAGTAGTCTTTCCCTAGAAATTAAAAACAACAAAGAACATTACTTTAATGTCATTAAAATAAAAATACTGTAACATTCCATGTCCTGTAATGCATTCTTCTAATCATTCCTAACAAAATACCTTAAAATTACTAACTTAGGCAATTATATGTCATCTGATTACTGGTATTATTGTTACTAATATAAGAAACTATTGGAAATGACAAATTTAGCAGTAGGGCGCTTAAAATACAGGCATCACTGCAGCAATCAACCTAGGCAGGTGTATTAGCTGGGAAGATTTTGGTAATTGTAAATAACAGGTTAATCGAATTATTTGCTTCTACTGGAATAGCTCTAAATTAATGAGATGGAAATCAAATGAAAGCTTGAAATAAAAAACAGAATACAGTTTATTAGCATACTGATATAAGGATTCATGTGCTGAGTAAAGCACCTTTCAATGAAAATCTGTCATTAAAATTAATGATTACAATTTCTATAGAAAGAAGACTAATTGCTTAAGTTTTTGCCTGGCCAGTTTTTATAGGATGGCTTGGCAGCTATGTTTAAAATGATGGTAAATCTGATTTTGACTACATTTACTTACAAACTGAATGTTAAATTCCTTTGAAACTAGTAGTAGTTCTTTAGAAGTATATGTGTCCAGAACTGCAACATCAATCAAGATTTTTTACTAAGCTGACAATATCTACCCATCCCCCTGTATAACTGAATATGTCAACTTCTTGTTATAAAATCACTTAAGCAAAAGAAGTCTATTTTTATTGGGTAAACTTTGAAAAAGGAAATTACACACTTGCAAATTACTGAACCTGGAGCATATCTGATTAGAATTGTAGTTGCTTTAGAAAATATTATGTATAGTAAGCATATAAACATCATACTTCTCTACTTTCCTGCCAACATACAATGTAGGAAAGATTTCTTCAGGCTACAAAACATTTCAAGTAGATATGTAAATAAACTGTATTTAAGTCAACAACGATGTAAAATGGAACAATGATTGTTACCCCATTTTTATTTCCTATAAAAAACAATGATCTTTCCAGGCCATCTCTGTCACCTTCATGGCTTTCTCTTTTCTCGACTTCTGCTTTAGCAATATCCCATATGGTGTCGCTAGCAGAGAAAACAAAACAAAACATGCTTTTTAATGCAGAATTACTATCCAGTACTAAAAGATCTTGGCTTACTCCAAACCACAAGTTCTTTGGAGTCTTCCAAAGGTTGTATGACTGTTTTTGCCAACTGCTGTACTATGTAGTATTGGGAAAGACCCCTACCTGAAACCATGTTAGTCAGTGGACATAGCATCCATATCTTTTCTCATGTGTCTGGGAGAAGCAGCTGGGTTGTATGCATCTAACCTCCTTCTCATGGTAAAAGAACAAATCAGGAATCTTGTCTTGTTTGTTTGCTTACTGCCCAGTCAGCACCAGGCACTACTCTGAGTCATTTACAATTAAAAGGAAACCCAAACAATATAATAGATCATCAGCAATAAAATAAAATAAAACAATCAAGATCTTATCTAATAAATCTAATACAATACCTGAAATCTAAACCTAAACAATGGCAGGACAGGCAGCATAAATGGTCATGGCTCAACAGTGTCTTACTGCTCCCTGTGAACCTAGGCAGTGGCTTGAAACAGATTTGTAAGCCATAGCTTTTTAAAGTCTGATGGTAAAGTCCACCAGCAGTGTCACAAGTTACCTACTCTTTGCTCTACGTGGTTAGGCAGGACTATATTGGGTCCATCATGATCAATACAAATAACAAAAGAAAAATCTCAAGTCTGTTGAAAAACTAGATGTTTGGAAGCAGCAGTTCAAAGCCTGACAAGTGTACCCAGGTTGGTGCACTACCTATACCAAATCTGGAAGAAGTTATTTGAACTTCATTTTCAAGAAGAACCTTCCTGAAGGCTGCTAACTTATATAAACATATTGTGGAGTAATTCCATGCACTCCTTCTCAGGCAGATTTTCAATACAAAAAGTTTACAAACTCCTGCAGATGAAGGAACATTTAAAGGAAAAATTATTCTTCGGTCTTTTTAAAATGTTTGTTTTTTGTGGTTTTAACAGGTCTTTCCCCCTTTTAATATGTTTATTTTTTAAAATGTGTTTTTTATACTTTGTAACTGGCTTTAATATTTGTGTGTTTTAAAGCTTTTGTAAGCTGCTTTGAATCCCTCCACAGGAAGAAAGGCAGAAAAGAAAATAAATATATAAATAAATCCATCTCCTATTGGTAATCTTACATCTGCTCTCACCTCTGACCAAAGATGCTCGGGTTCATCTGCACTGCTGTAACCTTACACATTAATTCAATATGCCTGGCTCCATTCCAAGTAAAAGTGCACAGATTTGGGCAGCACACATCTTTATTACATCCGATGTTATAATCATCCTGAGAAAACACAGGGATGGAAGGAACCGTACACAAGTTCAGCCTTCTGCCCAGAGTTTTTGGCATGTACAGTACATCTATGCACCTATTGTAGTTTTGTGCATGCACATCAGGCAAAAATCAAAGAAATCAAACAAGAACATGTGGCACCTTAAAGACTATCATACACAAGTCCAGCCTTTCATCCAGAGTTTTTGGCATGTGCAGTACATCTATGCACCTAGTGTACTTTTGTGCAAGCATACAGTATCAGGCAAAAATCAAAGGAATAAAACAAGAACATGTGGCACCTTAAAGACTAACTGTGGACATGTCACCAAAACTCACATTAAAATGTAATACTTTTTAAAGTGCCACATGTTTTTGTCTTGTTTTGATTACACCTACAGTGGCTTCTTTGGAAGACTGGGAATGCTGCTCCATGGAGAAGCAGCAGTGGACACTGGCGGAGGGGGGAAGAGATTATGGCATCAAGGGTTGGTTGCAAAAAGGGACACCTCCTTCCCTTACTTCTCTGGCTCACCTTCAGTTCTCTCCTCTGATACTCTCCTCACAGCAAAGAGGCACTGGTTCCTGTCTCCACTGAGAAACCACTTACAGCAGGCATGTTTCGCACTAGCAATCCCTCCCTGGATAAAGTGACAGACTAGGACTCTGCAGGCTGACAACAGTGTGTGTGGCTGATGGGAAGGGAGGCCAAATAAAGTGGCACTCTAAAGGCTCGCAGTTTTATTTCAGTGTGGCCTTTCTTAGACGCAAATCCACTTCCTCAGCTTTAAAGTATGACATTATTTTGCCCACCAAACGTTAGCAACACGCTGAGGGAGACGCATGCCACGCCTTCTTTGAGCCACGACAGAGACCTGGGTTCAAATCCTTGCTTGGGCTGACAGAGGAGACCTGGGTTCAAATCCCTGCTCGGGCACGGGAACTCACTGGAGTGCCGCGGAGATGGGCAAAGCCACTCCTTAAGTGCCTCACCTGCTTTGAAAACTCTGCTAGGGCCGCCGTAAGTCCGATGCGACTTGACGGAGCGTGATACATGGCAGACTCCCACCAGCATTAGCCAGCACCCTCGCCTCACTTGCCCGCCCTCCGGTGGCGCGGAGCGGGACCAGACGGCCTGGAGGCCCCCACGTTCCTCTCCCGCCTCATAATGGTGGCGGTCCCTCCTAACCTGAGGGACCGCCGGAGGTCCCAACCCGGCTCAAAAAAGAAAGACAAACGTGTGGGCGAGTTTGTACTCGTTGCGACCATTTCCCCCCCTTCCTTTCCTGAAAGGCCGAAAAAAAAGAATAAATAAATAAACCCGCTCCCGAAAGAGCAGCAGGAGCCCATGGACGCGCGTAACGCGGAGGAAGGCACACGCAGCACCCGCCCTCACTCCTCCTCGCCTCCATTACCTGCTTCCAGGCATCGCTTCTCAGGGCGCTCCAAACGCCGTAGGCCCTGCTCACTCCTCCGTCTCCATAGAAACCACTCGCTTGGCGAGCAGGGCATCATGGGAGTTGTAGTTCTACTTCCTTAGTTTTTAGGGGAGCTGGCTGCCCGGCTTGTTTCCGGCCCGTCGTGGAAGCGCCGCCGCCGGGTGTTGGCAAAGCGTGTTTTTTTTTTTTTAATTTGATTTTTATCCCACCCCTCTAGACCATGTCTACTCGGGGCGGCTTACAAAATAAAACGGATCAGTATAAAAAGGTGTTGTTTTACCGTTGACGTGAATGGGAATTTGAGAGGCCATTTAATGAACAAACTTTTGCATAGTATTGATCCAGGCACTCGGCTTCAGTGACTCGAACTTCACATCCGTTTTATTTTTCAGCTTCATGGTCTAAATTTGGTATTTTTGGTTCGATTTAAACCAGAACTCAGAAACACGGAAGTTTGCTAGCCCTGGATTTCATGGTCTTTCGGAGGCCGATTAAGAGTTCGGAGGCTTGGACAGTATATCTATTGCATACCTTACTAGAAATACTGTAAATTCTATCGCATTCTATGGGAATTATTCCCAAGTGTGTATTCCGACAGTATGGTTCAGAATCTGTGCTTGGTTTCCTGTGACTTTTCCTTGAATGGGATAGTTCTCAATGTAAAAGTATTTATATGGAAGCAAGGTGTATACTGGATTGAAACATTTGGGGTGTATACATTGATTAAATAACATTTGGGGTGTATAAATCGATTAAATAACTGTAAACTTGAAGATACCAACATATACTTCTTTGATAACACTTTTAATCGTTTGATAACACCTTTAATATGTATATGGTATACAGTCATATAAAAATACATTATATATTTTTTGCTAAATATCCACAAAATAAATACAAATGCTCTGCACATAAATTAATGTTCTATAATTATTATATATTTTTTTTGAAATACAGCATCTTTCCACTAAAAGTATTTTATTAGGTTTGTTAATCAAATTGCATCTGTTTTTCAGTGATCTATCATTTATTCATCTTTGGGCCTCTATGATGCTTGGATCCCCCAATCGGTCTTCAGTTGTATGCAACAAAATCTGTTTCACCAGAACGCAGATGATACACCTACCATTAAAAACAATGCAGTAGGGATACATAATGCAGATAGATATCCAAATGTGCAATTTAGTATGCATCCAGTTTATACCTGTGGCACAAGCAAGAACTTATACATGTAAATCTTTGTGGACCCAGTGTGAGAATACTGACCGAGATCATGAATGATAGAGCAGCTTTAAAGGGTTAGTAAAAATGGTAACATCAGTGAAATCTTGTATTCTATTACAGACTGAAAAATCTGTTAAGGTACCACAATCAAACTGTTAAGACAAAGAGCAAATGTTTAGCTTGTGACAATTTTCAAGAGAGGCAGCTGTGTTAGTAAGTACCTTAAAAACTATTTTTATGGCCTAGGATAACTGAGAATGTGCTGCAAAAATGTACCTCGATTCTGGAACATATATACTGTATGCAACTCTACATCATTTTTATTTTTAAACATGGGGTGTTTTAAACAGGTTTGCTAGTTCTTTAGATGGCCAACTACTTGTGAGCATGCTGATCCAAACCCAGGCCTCCTGTTAGATGCCCTATCTCTGACAGGTTCTCCATGGGTGCAACAGGAATTCTGCAGTGGCCGGGCCTTGCCCCTTCAGAGGTAGAGCTCCCCTCTGCCAACGGAAGGGAACTTCCATCAGATCCGTGGCCCCTCCAACAAGCAATATTAGGGGGTTAAAGATTGCACTGTAGGTAACACAGCTGAAGCAGACACAATTATCAGGCCTAGCTCTCTCTTTACACTTTATTTTAGTACCTATGGCATTCCCTGCTCTTCCCTGTATTATTTATAAAAATATGCAGCATTTCCTTGATATAGAACGACCCATATTCTAAATTTCATCTCAACCCTTCGGGGGGGGAAAGGTCCAATGTGCCCTTCATATTTAGACATACCATGAAGTGTCAAAATGGAAATTTCATTTAAAAAGTAAAAGTTCATATTCATCAGGGAAAAATGATATGTTGCATTGACAGCAAAGGAAAGGGTATAATCAAGTCATAAATCTGTGATTACCTCTGCCTATTTTATATGAATCAGTGATATAAGGCACAGTAGACAGTTATACATTTTCTTCTCTATACAGAATATATAAATTAGAGAATTTTGTTTAACAGTATTATTCATAAATATATCTAAATGAAAAAAAAACTGAGTTCACATGCATGTCCATCATTTGTTAATAATTTAAGTAATAAGTTCCATATGTGTAACAGCTTTAAGACCTGACAATACTGTTATTTTTGCAGCAGTTATAGCGACCAGGTTCTGCACTTAGAAGTTGACAAGTTAAGATGTGCAGCTGAAAATAATGAACTTCCATGGCATATAGAAAGCTGGTATATACTAATATAGACCACTGGCCTAGTCCAGTATTATCAACTCCGATTAGCAGCAGCTGTCTGGAATTTCAAACAGGATTCTTTCATATTGATTTCTAGAGATGTTGGGGATTGAACTTGGGACTTGTGGATACACCCCTTCCTCCCATGGTACTGAGTATTTCCTAATGGTCTCCTAGCTAAGTATGAACCATATCTGACCTTGATTAGCTTCTGGAATCGTACAAAATCATGGATGTTCTGATAAGGTAGAGGAGAAGGATCTGTGAGTGAGCCAAAATGAAAAGCAGAGATTTTACCAATAATTTAAAAACATTTTCAATACAGTATTTTACATTAATTCTCAAATAGGGCTCAGCACATATTTTGAGAATTAATACCTCAACATTTTGTGACTCTAGGAGTATTCAGTTAGCATCTTCATGGGTAAACTCACAATATATTTGCGAAGGCATTCACGGCCGGGATCTAATGGTTGTTCTGGGTTTTTCAGGCTCTTTGGCCGTGTTCTGAAGGTTGTTCTTCCTAACATTCCTAACAGCAACCTGTCCTCCGAAGATGCCGGCCACAGAGACTGGCGAAACGTTAGGAAGAACAACCTTCAGAACACGGCCAAAGAGCCCGAAAAACCCAGAACAACCATAAACTCACAATGTTTACATAAGAGTGCCTCTTCATCACTGCACTCTACATATGGAAACTGATGAGATGACAGTGAGATATACTTGTTCATGGCTACAGCTCAAATCTTAGCTGGAACATCTCAGATTGCAAATCCATCCCCTTTCCTGCAAGTGTGATAAATATAAAGGTAAAGGTTCCCCTTGACATTTTTAGTCCAGTTGTGTCCGACTCTAGGGGGCGGTGTTCATTCCGTTTTTCAAACCATAGAGCCAGCGCTTGTCCGAAGACAGTTTCCGTTGTCACATGGCCAGCGTGACTAGGGAACGCCGTTTTACCTTCCCACCAAGGTGGTACCTATTTATCTACTCGCATTTACATGCTTTCGAACTGCTAGGTGGGCGAGGAGCTGGGACAAAGTGACAGGAGCTCATTCCGTTACATGGATTCGATCTTACGACTGCTGGTCTTCTGACCCTGCAGCACAGGCTTCTGTGGTTTAGCCCGCAGCACCACCAAATCATTAATACTTGGGGAATTAATGACTGAATACTGCTCAAGATTTTCTATGAATGTGAGGAGCTTTGCAGCAATGTATAATCGTATGTATTGAATACTATTTTATGATTCACTTAATCTATGTTCTTGCGTATAGTTTGATCAGCTACAAAACAATAAAGTCTCTGTATTCAACCTGTAAGATAGTATGATATTTTTTAAACATACCAAAGAACTACATACTCAGCAGGGTTTGTGAGTGCTTTGTTCACTTGGTTAGATTCTGGCTGTAAATGAAGTGTATATTGTTTAGATTCAACATGTTCCCTCCACCATAATTAAGGGGTGTACTGTTTAGATGCAACATGGTAGCCAACAGGTTCCATTCTCCCCAGAAAAAAAATAACTAGGCAGGTATCTTACAATCGCTAATGCAAGAGTGAGGGTCAACTACATAAAGATATATTTTGTGTAATTATAACATATGGAATGTTTTGATTATAGCAATAATTGTTCCCCAAAAGCAGCTCCTGAGCCAATTCCTTTCTTCCACAGCTGATACTAAATTTAGTCTGATGTTTTCTTCTGACAGTCTCATTCCCAGAATAAAATAGGGAATACTGAAAAGGATCACAAGGGGAGTAGTAAAAGGGTGAATTTTATTTACTGTATATCCAAAGCATCGTTTATTTGATGTCTCATTACTTCCTGATATATTAATTTGGCTAAATAAGGCATATAAACAGCCATCTGACCAATGTCTGATCTACTACCTAACACTATGTACATCCCAGGGATCGTACAGGAAAGAATCACACTTTGTACCATGCTATCAGCTTAGAAGCAGAACTGGCTCAAAAAAGGTACTGCTAGTTTTTCATCAGACTGAAATGAGATTATTTCTTTTTTCCAATGCACCTACCCAATACATATTAAAATTCACCTGGTGTATATTTTAACAAGTGTGTGATCTTTTCATAATAAAGTAGGTCCTTTGGTTGGTCTGTTCTTCAATAAAAATGGATGACATGCGATATCTTGATTTTTCTGTCCTGCCTGTGGAGAAGCTGGACTAGAAAGATGGAAAGTAGGTCCCTTTTGCTGATGGAAATTGTTAATGTAGCTGGCAATCAGTAGAGTAATCTCAAGAATCTGAAATAAAACCAGGCAGTTGACAGACATCAGAAATGGTAAAGAACACTTAAATAGTCTGGTATGATCATTTACCTCGTATTAAGAGCTTGATCCAACATTGACTTCTTTGACCGTAAGGCATGTCAGTGGCAGTGATAATAAGAGAAATATAGAAGATATGGCCACTGACATATCTTCTATATTTCTCTTATTACTGTATCAGAAAATGGGGAGAAAGAAAGGCAATAGTGCTCATCATTTCTTGATAATGAGTTGATTACTGCCAGAGATAAGGCCTTGTAACAGATGGGCATCTAGTCTATTAGCATATGTATATTGTGTACATTATTACATTCATGTATGCATTTTTCTGTGCAGAAGTGAAGGTTCTAAGATCTTTTAAAAATATTTATCTATCTCATAACTGGGACTTCCATGACTCAAGGCTGCAAACATGCCAGCTAAACCACGACTGCTCTAAAAAGGCATCTGTTCTTGGGAATTTATGCACATACTAATGAAGTATGTAAATAAGGCTAGGATCCAAAACATTCCAATAATTGCTGTTCAGTTTGTTTTGTTCATGTGTTTCTACTAAGAGCATAAAGGCAAACTTACAAACAAATTAAATTATACAAAATTAAAATCATTTTGTTATGTGCCATCAAGTCACCAACAAATTATGGTTAAATAGTAATATGTAGTTAGATAATCCCACACATATGAAAATTTTACACACTACTTTAGGAAAATAAAGTTGTCTATGGCTATATTCCTAAAAGTTAAAAAGAATCCAAGTACGGTAGTCTTCATTAAGAAGATTTAGTAGCATCAAAAATGCTCCTCCTACTTATTAACCTCTTCTATTAAGGGATGAAAGAGCAACAAAACCTACTTTTACACAATCTGCTTTTATGTCTGCTGCAAAAGCTAGCAATTTGAAACAGTAGTTGATGCATCTGGCCCGTAAACAAGAACACAAAAGAGTGGTTAGAATTAACAGGTTTCAATTAATATACTACTGTACTAACCTTTGGTTTGGCCATACTGAACAAGAGTTTTTCAGTTGGCTTTTCTTGTGTGGTCACATGATTAACCACCAGCATAAAATCATCTTGATAACCTCCGAAGGTAATCAGGTTCTTGTATAAATATGTCACTATTAGCCTCTTGAAAGTCGGAAGTAAAGAAAGTTCCACATAAGTAAGAAAAAGAGCAAAAAAAGATTCAACATAAATTCTCTAATTTTTGAAATGAAAAATTTTCAAGACATTTACTCTGATTTTACAGTTGACTGTTCATTAGAAAGGGCTAATTGTTGATCCCACATTTGGAGGACTAAAAATGGCATTTAATACAAAGCTACCAACATGAACTTGACCCAACTCCGGGAGGCACTGGAAGACAGGAAAGCCTGGCATGTTCTGGTCCATGGGTCATGAAGAGTCGGACACAACTTAACGACTAAACAACAACAATTCAGAAGCAAGTTCCACTGAGTTTACCTCTGAATAGCCATGCACAGGATTACAGTCTAAATCTTTTTCTTACATGGCCATCATCCATGGTGCAACAAACTGTTCATTGCACAAAATGACATACAAGAACACACAAATGTAAGAGTAACAGTGGGAAAACGGAAGGAAATGCGATGGATTAGCCTAATCTCCAACCGTACTTATTCTAAAATAAGAGCAAACAATTTGAGCCAACTCATGCGTAGATCTGACCTTCTGAAATCCACAGGACTCAGCCACATTCACATTTCCAGTAAGACCATTATAAGTTTCACTGGTGCATTCATGATTGCAGCCTAAGGCTGCAAGTCTATAAGCACATTGAAAGCAGTGATCACATTCAGATTTGCATATGTATAAATATGGTTCTGATAACATAGGAGTCATATATTATTCTAGTGGCAACCTCTCAAGCCTCAGAAGGACATGCTTCAGAGGATCCACTTCCACCCCCAGCCAGGATGCATGTGTACTTTTAAGGGTAAATGCTACTTTTAGAAAAAGAATAAGTTTCCGTATATAAATACTGTATGTAATGCTCAGATAATGGTCATTATTTTGCAAAGTTATTATTACATAATTGGCACATATATACTAATATAAATGCACAGGTTTGAACTATTTCTATAAAAGCCGGAATATAAATTTTCTTGAGCAGCTACCTATGTAGGACACATTGGGCAAAGTCCTGCTGACATAGTTATGGCATCATAAACCAGATATGGGTGCCAGAAATAATGAATATACATTAGAGAAATTTTCCCCATCTCTCATTCTGAGGCTCTCTAGGGCTCCATTTTTGCCTTGGGGAAATTTTTGGAAGACTCAGAAGGTGTGGGGGAGCCTAGCAGTCAAACATTACTCTGGATACTTGCTGACAGCCCCAATCCCAACAGTGGTTAACCAGTTGTTATTTTTTAACTATTAAAGGCTCCCTTACCCCATCCTGAGGCTCCCGAAGACTTTGACTGGGCAAAAGGAAGCTGTAGGGAACCCCAGAACTGAAACTGAGGGAAAATTAAGATTTCAATTAATTTCAATCAATTATTTCCAATGCCTTGATGCCCAGTTTTCAATGCCAACATGATTTTTCCCAATTAGTCCATGACACAAGTTTGCTAAAGATTAATGGAGATTAATTTGGTTCACAATTCACATACTTTTCTTTTCTTTATACAAAGACTATTTTCTTCTTACCATAGAGCTGTATTCAAGAATGTTTATGCCATCTTCATAAACAGCAAACCATATCATAGCACTTTCTAACGTGGATACTGTCAGAGGCTAGAGAGAAAAGAAACAAAATTAGCTATGATTAATAAGTTGTATACAAAATAAAGAACTACCGAGTGTTTAATAGTAACATTTCTGTACAGTAAGGCACAAGAAATGAAGGGAAGCAATTCCTTCACATTCTACACATTCATTGGCATTAAGCAACCTAACTGTTTGCTTAATGTTGTAAAGAAAAATGAAGGAAGAACATATGCTGATTTAGGGCATATTATAAATTTCTGCACAAGTGTTCAACTGATTTAGTGGCAATTTTAGGAAATTAAACATTTGACCCATTACACCCATCCCAGTTTTTAAAAAGCTTTTCTTCGTTAAAGTTATAGGTTACACTTGTGTACATGTAACATGTATCTTGCCATTTATTAAAACTGTGTAGATTATGCTGTTCTGGAAACTGTTCTCCAGATCCGAATGTAAATCCCCTAATCTCTTCCACCCCTCCCAAATTATTTGGGTTTTCCCCCCACCATTTTCTGCCCCATGGAACTAAGGTGCTTGAATAACAGCCCACCTTTATGTTTTATGAGGAAGTGATATGCTCACAATTTTTACTGGACCATCATTTTGCTACTTAAAAATGTTGCCCATTTACCATCATGTAAGGCAGCATAAAGTCAGTATAAGAGTTAATCATAATTCAGCTACATGGTCACCACACTGTGTGCATTATTTTTCAAATTAAAGAAAAGTAAAATAACATACAGTGAGAATACTTACTTTTGCAGCGAACAATTTGGCACCGAAAAAAGGCCACTTACGAACAACAGCAAGGTAAATGCGCACACAATCTACAGCACTGTGACCACGGAGAGCCATCCATTTTGTTGACAGTCGCTGGCAAAGCTTTCTATTATTGACATGAAGCATATGGGCATTAAGCAGGGCAAAACCATGGAGGAGTGGGAGAGAAAGGGATTCATATGATAATCTCAAACAAGCAGCAATGTCTCTTTAATAAAGACAGTTCATCCTCCTTTCAATAGGAATTCATCTTCCACTTGTGAGAAAAGTGGGTTTGCTAGTCCTGCACCCTTTGTTCTTGGTTGTATCATATATCTACATATGGAATGAGACAGTCTGCACCATAGGGGACTCTCCATATGAACTGGAACCCTGCTTTTCTAGGCTTCCACCACACATGGAGTTCCCCCAGGGAGAGCAGAAGCTCTCCCCTTCATATTCAACATCACCTTTCCTGCATAGGAGGAAAACAGAAGGAAAGATGCTGGAGGAGGTGGGGATACGGCATCTTTCCCCCATTGTTGATACAATACGCTGTTCGATACAATACAATAATCACTGAACAGACACACCTACATCTATGTTGATCTATAGAAGAAAGATTTTTTTAAAGACTTTGTTGATTCATCTGGTGATTTTAGTAATAATACATCCAATTTTTGTATTAGCTGCATGAGGAAGTATCTATTATAGTATCAAATGAAATTTATTTAACAAGTGTTTGCTTGTTTTCTTTTAAAGAAAAGCTATGAGCCGTATACCTTAATTGTTCTTCTGAACAGCCATCCCTGTATCTTTTTGGATAAAACTTTTCCACAACTTGTTTTAGATTTTGATTAGATTTTGACTGGGATGTTACTTGTCCTGCTGGAGTTGAAAATGGTCTTTCAAAGTCCCCAATCTCCACCTAGTGGACAGGTGAGGAGAAAGAGAGAAAGACTGTTATTGTAGACATTTCTGGACTTCCGCATGTTTCAATATCTACTGTTCATCTTTTAGTAATTTGAACCATCTTTCAAGGGAAAGGTATTTCTTCCCTAAATCAGTATTCAGGAAATTCAGGAGACACTGTAAGCATTTCAATCGAATTAAGAATATAGAGGAAATGGATTATAATCCATAAAAGGCCATGTCGAAATCATTCTGCAAGTCTTTAAAGTGCCACAATACTTCTGCTTTGTTTTTGCTTTATTAGTCTGAAGCAGACTAACATGGGTTCCTCTTTGAAAACTGCTAGAATGCCAGAATAATTAATTGAGGATGTTCAAGAATTATCTTATAGAAAGTCTAATACATATTCTTTTATTTAATGTAACTATAATCAATGTTTAAAAAGCAATGCAATAGAACAGAAAGCAGGCCAAACTCAGGATCACATTACATGCCCTGAAGAGTGCCTACAGAATCATATTTCTCATATAGAGAGCATGGCAGGTGAATGTATTATTACTAGAGCTCTTGGACTAGAGTGGCGGAAGCATCACATGTTGCCTACAAAGCATGCAAAAAACATGTGTATCTGTTTTATAGAACATCACCATTAACTGCTTACTTTGGCCTAATGCCCTGGGACCATGTAGCAACGGAAGCACAAGAGGTATCTCAAGGCCTGCTTTGGATGTTTATATCTGTACTTGGATAATCGTATTTTCACAATGAAACAGAGAAATAGAGACAGTGGTAATACCTGAGGAAGGGGGGGGAAACCGTTTAGCCACCAAATGTTGGCACAATTAAAGTAATTCAGGATACTCAGATGCTGCAGGACCACTAACCCAGATCATAACACTGGCAGTAGACTTCAGTTGTTTGTCCTTCCTAGGACTTCCAGTTAGCTCCCCAGTGCATGCTCTTTGCATAGGAAAGTGCCCATTGAGAGGAATGAGGTAGTTCTCCCATGCAAACTACAAGCGGGATCCACAGTTCCAGGGCCCTTTTCTGCATCTCATTCCATGCTCCCAAAATCTGCTCTGAAAGATTGAAGGGACCTCTCAAGAGCAAATTTCATGAGACAACAGGGGGGGAAATGAGGATGAAAAAATCCACTTGTGCTCATGGTTTTTCCACTATTGCGCTGTTAATTTTATGCCATGACTAACGCCAGTCTTAACTGTCTTTTTAGTTATAACTTGCATATGACGAATAAATAAAGCCAAAAAAGATTCCCAATTTAATAAAAGATAGTTGAGAAACAGTGGCTGAAATCCTGTTGTACAGTTATGTGCACAGCATAAACATTAGACAGGAACTGCCATAAATTAAGAAACCTCTGTAGCCATTACCTGTTGCATGCCAATTTGCATGATTTGGTATGCAATAAATAATATCTACAGAGATCTCTTAACTTGCAGCTATTCCCTTCCAAAAATCATGGCATTTGTGTAATGGTGAAAAAGGATTTCAGCTACCATAGGATAACAGTATACAGACGTTTGACCAGGCAAGCCTGGATCTAAATGAAATTCACCCATAACATTTATCAACTGATCTTGGCCACATACCCTAGGCCTAGCCTTTTCAGTTTTTTGCAGAGATAAAATGTACACATGGGATGTAAATACACAGAAATAGAAACGTAACAGAAAGTTTATATAACATTTCAAGGAACAACTGTATGCAGAGCACTACAAAACATGCATGCCAGGAAAACCATGAATGCCACTTACCTGTGCCAGAAGTGCTGTCAGTTCTAGTGCCAGATCTTTATTTACGGGGAAGAGCCCATTTACAATTTGATCATTTGCCTGGTACATTAACAACAGCTTTTCCCTTTCAGTCTCTCCACGAATTTGGGTGGAAAAATACAGCCTACCAAACAAAACAAAACATCTGTCCAGAATGTGTTTTGGAGCTAACAAATTAAAAAGCTATTTATACAATGTCAGTTCCACTAGCGACCTGATGATGTGCTATCAAAGCATTATTAATAAAAATCCAATAATGTAAAAAATGTTGCCATTGTAGAAAAAAATCAGAAACAACTGATAAACCTTTTACACATCTGTGCAGCACCATTAAATTTTCTTTAATACTCAGTCTATTCACACTAAATCAAATTTTTAAAATTCCAGAATGGGGAAAAACAAAACACATGATCTGAAAGAGGCTTTTCTCCCCATGTAAAAATAAAAGGACTGTACATGAAAAGCATGAAAACAAAAGAGGCACTTCCCCAAAATAAACAAGATGTGTACATCCCTAAATATAACTTGCTTGTCAGAGCACTGCTGCACAGAATTCTGATCCCCTGTTTTCATTAAACTGTCATTAAACTATAAACCTATCTCAAGGAGCAGTGGTCTCTAGAGATATACATTCAGCTCACTATTATATACCTGTTTTTGTATGTAAGCCTGACTGTTCTTGTTCCTTCACATTTCCCAGGATGCTGCTCTTTAGACGCCTGTTCCCATCTAGAAATAATGTCACAGATCTACAAGGAAAAACACGGGACAGAATGTATTTATTTTCAACATAAAGGTAAAGGTTCCCCTTGACAATTTTTGTCCGGTCGTGTTCGACTCTAGGGGGCGGTGCCCATCCCCGTTTCCAAGCCATAGAGCCAGCGTTTTGTCCGAAGACAATCTTTCCGTGGTCACGTGGCCAGTGCGATTTAGACACGGAACGCTGTTACCTTCCCACCGAGGTGGTCCCTATTTATCTACTCGCATTTGCATGCTTTCGAACCGCTAGGTTGGCGGGAGCTGGGACAAGCGACGGGTGCTCACTCCATAGCGTGGATTCGATCTTACGACTGCTGGTCTTCTGACCCTGCAGCACAGGCTTCTGCGGTTTAGCCCGCAGCGCCACCACGTCCCTTTGACATTTTCAACATACTTCATGTCAAAAGTGAAAGTATACACTTCTGTTAGGATTGATATTACAACAATAGATCACAGAAAGGATGTAACCCTATGCATATTTAATTTGAAGCAAATCTCATGGAATTCAGCAGAAATTGTAGTAATAAGGAATAGGTCTGAGTTCCAAGATGAAATGGAGAACACTTGCCTGAATGTATTACTGAGATCAGTGAAAATTGCCATGTAGCACAAAGATGTGAATCAAAAAAACATTAGTAACTTTCATGGTTACAGTTTTTAGAAATAACTTCAGTTTCTCCCAAGTACGCTGACAGTTACTTACATAAAAAGAAACTGTAATACTACAAACTACTAGCCTTTGGTACAAAAACACATTCTTCCCATATTATCATTTCAACAACCTCAAAAGAGCATGAAAAGGCTGCATAAGACATAGAAAGAGCTAGCACTTGAAGGATGTGGTAATTTTCCTGCATCATTTAGTGAAGCTTCTCCAATATCATGGAAAATCATAAAATAAATCCTTTTCAAGTTTTCTCAGAATTCCCATGCCTGTCCTTAATGAGCTTTATAAAACAACCTTAAATATCACGAAAACTCTCCTTAAAGCACTTCAAGAAAAAAAGGGAAACATTAAAAATTTTAAAAAGGTATATTTACGAAAAAACTTTTCTTTAAATAAACATACAAGTATTTATGATAGTGAGCTGAAGGACTTTCTACCTTGATATTTCCTTGAAGACAGTGTTCTATATCTTTGCCAGAAGGATCATCAGTGAACAAAGCAAAACCTGATTCTGCTGGTTTCCTCATTCCTGTGTCTTGATTAAGTGTTTTGAGAAATTCTTCTACTGTGGTGGAAGCATCAAACCCAACAACCTAGACACAACAAATGTAACAAGATTCAACACAAATCATCACACAAATCTGAGCACCACAAGTTGAAAAAACAACCACAACAGGCCAAGCCTACTGCCTTCTCCTATTCACAGAAAGTACCCTACCATAAGCAAAAAGATGCCATGTAAAGAATGGAAAGGCATCTTTGGATTTTAAATAAAAATTTAAAATTAAAACTGAAGTGTCCAGTGCAACAATACCAATTGTTTTAAAACAGATGCACATCACACCATTCTGAGGAAAACAATAGAAGAGGGAGGGAGACAATATTTTTGTGTAAATTATTGTAGTATCAGCTTCCATCCTATTTTTTTACTTTTATCTGATCAATTAAAATGATAGTCAAGTTATAAAAGAAAAGTCCAATGATCCACAGATCAAAATATTTTAAGATTTTTTGCAGATGATTAACTGAAATGCTAATCAATGTGATGATCTATTTTAAAAAAACAAACTAGGAAGGAACAGAAGCTCAAACATATTTAAATGGAAACAGTGTTCAAACAGTGTTATGATTTTCTCTGCCCATACTTTACGTGCTGGTGTATATATATCACATTATGCACAATACCTACCTGATAGATCCCATTCATGAAATGTACTGGAATACTAAAGGGTAAGGAATGATGGTAGGGATTTCTTAGAAGCGTAGAAAGAATTTCCATTCTTGATGGTCTGGCTTCTCTATCACCATTCTGCTGTGTCCTTTCTACGCATCGCTGACAATAAATTGCGTATTTTCCTAATTCAGTCCTGTGAGCACAGACCAGGGCTTCATAAATAGAACTCTAACAATGCTGGAGTATCAGCATATTCTTTTAACATACAATAAACAAAATGAATATATGATTTTACAATCCATTCTGCATTTCTTCCTAAAATCTCCCAAGCTGTGATTGTAGCTTGAAGGACAAGTTGCTTACCTATAACTGCAGTTCCTCAAGTGATCATATGTGAGCTCACACTAATGAGACCTCCATTTTGCTGATTTTTCTGAAAATTAGGATTGAAGAAGGCAGCTTTTCAGGGCAACCTGTGTAAGTGCTCAGAAGGTGTACTCTGAAACGATGTCCTCTTACAGACCGGTACGGGATTTACTCTGTTTGGGTGGTGAGAGCCCACAGATATGGAGCCCACAGGGCATGCCCAAACTTTATGTGATGTATCCATGGTGACAAGCATCATTTGTCTCAAGGGTGGAAGTCCACTCCTCAGCACAGGTTCAACAAATAGATGAATAAATTTAGGAGGTCGCTGGTGTGCTAGGGAGTCCAATGCAAAGACCACTTTTCCCCAAAAGAGTGGATTCTGTCTTACCCCATGATTTTTACTTCCTCAAGAAATGCCTGCTAGTCTGGGTGTTGTGCTGTTCTACCCAAACAGAGCAAACAGAGTGTTCACTGGTAAGTGGCTTACCACCCAAATTGTCCATTTTTAAAACAAGGATTGTGCTACCATAAGCACTGACTAGCGGTAGGCTGGAAAAGACAACCGGAATTCTAACCTCTGGGACATTTGTTTAAAAAAGGATAAATGGACTAGAAGAAGCAAAGATAAATAACTAGAAATTATTTACAGAAGAAGCATTTAGTGAGAGACAGTGAGAAAAACCAAGATATGTTCCAGGATACTGCTGTTGGAACAGTGGACAAAATGAAACTCAGGAGATTTGAAGGGAAGGAAGCTTGACATGTATGATTTGGCTTTTGCCAAAATACTACTGCTTAACTCTAAAAGGTTTTGGGACACCCTGTGCAGGTACAGGAAATCCCATTATTTTGCATTCACCGTGACCCCACTTTTCACTGCCTACAGTATAAAGGCACTGATCCACTGCCTTTTCTTTTGAATACTACATAACTGTTGGAACTATGACAGCGTGGAGAAAATGGGAAAGCCAGTAAATCTGTTCCAGTGAAATGCATGGATGAACTGGGGAGAGATCAGTTGGCCATCAGCTTAAACCACATTTTGATTTGTATTCACGAAGGCTTTCATGGCCGGGATCTAATTGTTGTTGTGGGTTTTTCGGGCTCTTTGGCCGTGTTCTGAAGATTGTTCTACCTAACATTTCGCCAGAATGCTGTCCTCCGAAGATGCCAGCCACAGAGACTGGCGAAATGTTAGGAAGAACAACCTTCAGAACACGGCCAAAGAGCCTGAAAACCCCACAACAACACATTTTGATTACTCTTCAGATCATACTCCAATATGTTTTGCATCTTTTCCTGATGATCTTAAACTCTGGTTGTGTGGTTAAAACTTAAGGTCGTACATTCTTCTTCCAGTTATTACAATTTTCAGGGGAGGTTAACTTGTGCTTTACACTTCAAAAATAAAATGATGGCATACACAGCTATTATATGAGATAATGCTACAGATGAAATATAGTAATGAAATTTGGTATATCAACTTCCTTGCATCACTCAGTCAATGAACTAATGTGAAATCTATAAATCAATAGCAATGTCAATGGTAATGATCAATAATGGGTATGAATAATAAAACTTTGCTTTAGAAACTTTAAGTACAGTCTATTAAATGCTGCTGGTTCATTATAGGAAGCAATCGTTTAGCCTTAAGCAGCCTGGTATTTATTCCTACAAGGCATACCTGGAATCCGCATTTTTCTTTAGGTGAAGTTTCATGAGCCAAAGAAATGGGTGCTGTGGAAGAAAGAGCCCAAGACAGAGTGCTAAAAGCTGCCAAGCCTGGTCAAAGAAGAAAAACAAAATCATTGTCTGAAGTTGTTTTGGAAGCAAATATAAATAGATGTGCTATCAAATTTGGCACAGGGTAGCTAGGAATCCAGACCTGACCAGATGAGAAGAAACAATTTTGTATGTACCCTATGAGGGTGTGATTGTACAGCCAAGGGAGGCTGGATCTAACACGCGCACAGATATATAGGAGAAAATGAAGATGTACATCTTAAATATAAAACATATAACCAACCCTCAGATAAGTTTAGGGTACAGGGCATGCAGAATTAATAATCCAGAACTCTTGACATGACATTTAAAATTACAGTATATATTTCAATTTAAAATCTAGCTTAGTTATACTTTAGTTCCTACAGAATCAGTGGATTAAATGAAACAGGACCCTACAAGTAATAAAAGCGACTGAAAATTCTTTATTGCAATAGTTCATTTGGGCTAAACCCACCCCCTAACATATTCCAAAAATTCTCATCTGAATAATTTTTAAAACTGAATAATGTGCACAAGTGCTGCTCCACCAATGTGCTGCTTTGGTGATTCTGATTAACATATTTAGGTTTCATGAAAGTGGTTTTTTTAAGGCCAGTTTTTAAAGAAGTGGAAGAACAGCTGACCTTTATGCAGAATTATCATTTCCCCCCTTCTTTTGAGATTTTGGATATTATATACATTTTACAAGTGGCTAAATTTAATAGTCAGTCATTCTTGCTGTCATATCCTTCCGGGGAAAAATGATGATGAAACACACTGGCCATGTTACATTGCAAAGGAGCATTCTTTTACTCTGGAGATGATTTTGAGCTTTAGGTCCCTGCACTTGTGGACTTCCTGAAAATCAGTAAGATCCAAATTAATGGTTTCCTTTGAATGCTATTTCTATTTATGTAATTTTTATTGTCAAGCCAATACAGTGGGCAAAATTCTCTTGCATAAAGTTAATGTCAGCACAAACTTGGACCAGGAATAATTAATTTAAACTATCTGAAAATTTTCTACCTGTCCTCCTCTCTTTCAGGTTTTGAGGCTCCCTCGGGCTCCCTTTCCTCCTAGAGAGGCCTTTGGAAGCCTTGAGACAGTGGAGGTAGCCTTAAGTAGTCTAAAATAATTGCTAGATAGCGGTTAGAAGCATCAGGACATCCAATGCTGATCTGGTAGTGATTTTCAATGATTAACTCCTCCCTCCAAAGACTCCCTCAGGGCAAAAGGAAGCCCTGAAATCTGAACAGAGGAATATTAGTTTAATGATTTCTAGTGCCAAATCCAGTTTATTCTAGTGTAACATTACGTAACAGGATTTTGCCTAGTATCTTCATTCTTCTGCTTTGATTTCCCAAAGTACACATTATTATGATGCAGCTTTCCACAATTCCTATGTTATATAAGTGCAACAGAGACTTTACTAAAAAGGGCTTAGTACCTGAATCGGTCCTATCTGATTTGATGGCTGCCTTCTTCTTGTCTGCTTCACCAACTGGCAGCAGATTTCATTCTGGAGTTCTGGGTGTGTAAGGCAGACCTGCAAAGCACTTTGGGCTAAAGACACATGGTAATCAATGGCAGGAGAGTCCACTGCTGCATTTATAAACAGCTGGCAAGTCTGCAAAAAGGACAATATTATTGCATTTAATTTACTGCATTGCGGATTTATTATTACACCTGTTTATACATGAAGAATAAAACTTACAGTATTTGAACAGCACTATACAGAAATGGAAAACTGAAATAAGACAGTTATTTGCTCCTTGTTTGTTTTGTTGGCTACAGCAGTGGTTCTTAACCTTGGGTTACTCAGGTGTTTTTGAACTGCAACTCCCAGAAACCCCAGCCAGCACAGCTGGTGCTGAAGGCTTCTGGGAGTTGGAGTCCAAAAGCACTTGAGTAACCCAAGGTTAAGAACCACTGGGCTAGAGGATCATGCCACTATCTCCTTTATCCCCACCAGAGGTTACTCCATAGTCTGCATCACATGGAGAGATGAAACAGCAAGCTCTCTCCATCCTCCTCCATTGGCTCAGCCAGAACCCACAGCCATTGACATTCCCTCTTCTAAAAGTTACCTGAACTACACATGAAACTACTTCACCTATAACAAATATAGGCACTGACTAGTGTTGGCTCTGTAGGGATCGACAACATTAAAATAAACTCAAACTTGATAAATGTAACTGAAGATGCTATGGTCTGAACTTGGGATTTCTTGCTCACAGAGTAGAGGCACCCCAATATCTTTTTCAGAAGATCCTTCTGGAGCAGCTTCTGGGGGTGCATGAGAGGCCCCATGAGAGGGGCCTGGATTAATGTGACCTACCAGTTCTGTCTGTTGTGGCAACAGAAGGTTACTACTGGATATAACCCATTTTTAAGACTATAGTGTAGTGGTCAGAGCATCCAATGAGGACTCTGGGGATCAGGATCCAAATCTTTGCTCAGCCACGGGAACTCACAGGTGGGAGGTGGGGATAACATTGGCAATAACACCTCTTAAATTTCCCACATACAGTGGTGCCCTGCATAGCAACATTAATCCGTTCCAGGATTAACGTCGCTATCTGGAATTGTCGCTAAACGGAAAGAAAAACCCCATAGGAACGCTTTAAACTCTGTTTAATGCGTTCCTATGGGGGGAAACTCACTGTTGAGCGAAGATCCTCCATAGCGCCGCCATTTTCGCCTCCTCGGTAAGCGAGGGCAGTGCGCGAAAATGCTGCGGGCGGCCATTTTGTGCACTCGGCGGGCATTTTGGAACCGCCGATCAGCTGTTTAAAAAAAGTCGCAATGTGAAGATCGGTAAGCGAAACGCTCACCGATCATTGCAATGCCATTTTCGTCCATTTAGATCATTGCAATGCGATCGCATTAGCGATCGCAAAAAACGCATCGCTATGCGAATTTGTCATTAAACGGTGCACTCGTTATGCGAGGCACCACTGTACTTTGGAAGCTCTTCTAGGGTTGTCATCGATCAAAATCAACTTGAAGGCATATCACACACACAGCTCCGCTCTCTGAGCTGGCTTTTAAAAATCAGACTTGAAATACGTTGTGCAATTTTACACATATTTTGCAGGTAAAGACCCTCCTTGAAGCAGGTTCAGGATTGCTGCTTCAAGGAGATTTGTTTTATTAAATTCTTAAGGTCTTGCCTTTTTATATTTCTCTTTATATTTCCTTTTTGACATGTTATTCTTTCATTACTTTAAAGTAAGGTAGGTTATAAGTTCTGATAAATGTAAATGATAACTCACTTGCCATTTTTATTCCTTAAGTAAAGAAAGTTTTCCTAGAGAAGGAAAAATGTTGAGCTGTAGGTCTATGTTTTAATTACTTCAAAAACTATCAAATTCACTAAGTTTTAATTTCTCAAACTGCTTTTCCCTGCTAGTGAAGAAAAGAGTTGACCAGCAGATCTTGCTTTCTTGAGAACTAGTTTCACTGTTGAGATTTTTTTTTGTAATTAAGATTCAACCTTTGTAACAATTTGAGAACGTGCCCAAATGAACATAAGGGGACTTTCTTTTTAATTGCATTGTAATATGTGTAGCATATTATTTCAAACAAAACATATAAAAAAGGAAAACATTTCTGAAGTCATGTCCACTTGTAAAGAAGAAATTACTATGTGTTTACCTTAAATAACTTTATAGCTTCAGTTTGCAGAGCCTCAGATGGGAGAGTTGTAAGAGGAGAAGTAATTCCATCTTTGCTGTGACAAAGCGTAGGATGCCTCCAGATCTGTGATGCTAGAAGGGGAAAAAAAGACAGTCAAGTATATAAAGAAGCGATGGTATGATTTAACACTACTCTGGTACAGTTTATTAAGAGACCCATCCCACATTAAAATCCTAGATGCTTAATGTTTAGCAATAGATTGCACGTTACATTTACCACACGGGATAACTCAGTAAGCCAGAGGCTGGGAGTTCAATTCCTCATTGTGCCTACCCACCCCCACCCCCAAAAAAGTAGAGTCAGTCTGTGTAGCTTTGCACAAGCTACAGAGTCCCAAAGTGTACTCAGAAGAAGGAAATGGTAAAACACTACTACTGTACTTTCTACTGAGAAAATCCTGGAACACAATTATTATTATCTTCACACATCCCAATTTATTGGGAGAGTTCTTTACATATCAGTGCCACTTGTTCTCCAGAAGACTTGCAGTGCTACAAGTTAAGAACCCATCAAAATACATTGTATGTTATTACAGTGATTAAACCTGTCTCACAGAGGAGTTCCTGCACAACAAATATTAATGAGAAAAGCTGAACCAGTATTCTGAGTCAAAGATGTTTTAATCTCTGTTTTCTGTCTCCTGTAGGAATGTTTAGCCAGTATTCTGTGTCAGTCAAAGATGCTTTAATCTCTATCTGTTTTCTGTCTCCTGTAGGAATGTTTACAATAGAACCCAACATCAAACACAGGCCATAAATTACTGCATGTGAGATGTAACCACACAACCTGGACTCTTAGGGACAATTAATATTTAGTATGCTTTACTTGTAAAATTGATATTTCATCCAGTATTTAATTTTTCCCCATGTGTCTGACGAAGTGGACTTGTTCATGAAATCTCATGTTAAAATATAACAGTCTTTAAGGTGCCACATGTTTCTGTCTTTTTTTTTCCCCTTTGGATTTTGCTATTAAGCAGAAGACTACAGATGTAGCTTTCACACGGGCAACGCCATCCCAGTGAGAGAGGAGCTTCAGCCATCATCCAGTATTTCATTTTTTCCCATGTGTCTGACGAAGTGGACTTGTTCATGAAATCTCATGTTAAAATATAACAGTCTTTAAGGTGCCACATGTTTCTGTCTTTTTTTTTCCCCTTTGGATTTTGCTATTAAGCAGAAGACTACAGATGTAGCTTTCACACGGGCAACGCCATCCCAGTGAGAGAGGAGCTTCAGCCATTTCCTAACATGGGACATGGAGGAAATTGCTAGTAACTCACTAGTACTCTTCTGAAATCATTTCATCAGAAAGTAGGACACAGCTTTTAAGCCATTTTCATTGTTTTCATTTATAGAACATTCCATTTCAATGACACTGTGAGAACCATTCTCTTTCTCTCCAAAGCTCAGACACAGAATACACACACACACACACACACGGGAAATGAATTTTTTACAGATAGAAAGAGATGTATGTTACCTTTATAAACACAAGTATTTGGATAGAATAAAACTTGAGTCAAATACTCAATTACTAAATCCATAATTTAGTATTCCCACTTTCCACCTTTTTCACTGCACGGTGTAAACAACTTAAAAAGCTCCAGGAAAGCAATAATAATGCATCTGAAAAATCATGTATTAGAAATAGGTAGACTGCCCAAACAATGTTCATGTTGATTACCCAGAATGTTAAGTAATAGGAAGTTTAATTGTGTGCCATTTCAAAGTTCCAGGAGCAGAGATACCACTGTCTCTCTCCTTGAGAGATATTAATATGCTCCTGCTGTATTCCCAGACAGTATAAAGAGATTAAAGCTTTGATGACTTAATTGAGCCATGCCTTTTCTATTAATTTTAACTGTGACAGGTAAGTTGAAAGATATTTTAAAAGAAACAGAAGTTGAAACATGTGAAGTCGCATGTACTTTTGTTTAGAAGTGCTCCTGATCTCATCATAAGCAAACAAGAATTCCTCTGTATGTACTGAGGTCTGAATGCATAATTCTGCAGATCTGTTTACTGAGATATGAACTTGTAAGTCTCAATTAAACATCTATTTTAGGTTTGTTAGTGTTAGTTAAGGTTAATAAACAGCAGCAGCATATTTTAGAGAACTGAAAAATTAGTCCCATGTCCAATGTAGCACTGATGCTGCAGCACCAGAATCGCCGAAGTTCCTCCCCTACCAACCCCTCTGCCCCCCCACGTATCCTTTAGCTCTGAGAACAAAACTGTCTCTGCAGGTTTCTCAACTCCAGAACAAGTCTGGAGGGGGGGGGGCATGAAAAGTTAGGAGAAATGCTGTCACAATCACAGCACCAGCTGTTTTACAGTAAGATTTCCTCTTGCACTAACGGAGGATCTTTCAGATTCTTCAGTACAGGAGAAGTCATCCTTGGTGAACAGACCCTTTCGGAAAACTATAGTCCATGTTCACAATTATTTTGAAATATATGCTTAGAATAACAGCAAATGACATTGCTTGACTAGAGTTCAGAATGTGGTAAGTTCAGGGCAACTGTAGATTTCAAAAGATATGAATTCAACGTTTGCAATAAAAGGTATTAACTTACTGGGGTCCCCTTCAATATTTAACAATTTGCAGACAAGCTGTTCGAACTCGGTCCCAACACTTATATTTGTGCTTCCAGCAGCAACTGTCAAATGGTAAAGCCATGTGTCCTGAGAAATAAAGCACAGTTCAAATTTGTTTTAACATAGATAAAAGAACATAGATCTGAACGACATTAGAAAACTTCAGAAAGTGGAAACAAAAAATCTCCCACTAAGACAGAGATTACTCATGGTTGAGTAATCAACACCATTTTGTAAATGCCCATTACACATACCCATAAAGACCTTTTGTCACCCTGTTGCTCCAGAACATAAACAAGTCAGGCAAATTCTTTTTTAAAAGCCCTTTAAATTCATTTGAAGATAACTTTGAAGAAGATATTTGAATGTAACTTTAAATTGTGGTGATAATGTTTGCATAACTTGCCACTGGTACTGTTTTTTCCCCCAAAAATAAGACAGGGTCTTATCGATACTGTTTGCATAACTTGCCGCTGGTATTGTGTTTCACCCAAAATAAGACAGGGTCTTATATTAATTGTTTCTCTAAAAAACACATTGGAGGTTATTTTCAGGGGATGTTTTATTGTTTTCCTGTACAACAATCTACATTTATTCAAATACAGTTATCTCATCTTCTGGTTGCTGCACAATGGTGGAGGGCGGGGTTTCACTTAACTGGGGCTTATTTTGGGGGTAGGGCTTATATTACGAGCGTCCTGAAAAATCACACTAGGGTTTATTTTCAGGTTAGGAATTTTCGGGGAAACAGGGTAATTGCAGCTAACTGAAAAGGTGCTAGGGTGTGCCTATATGCCTGGTTATGCACCTCACTGCACAGCTGAAACACACCTCAGTACCTTAGGAGTTAGCTGCAATTAGCAGCAACAAGTTACACAAACCTTATGTGAACACCAAGATGAGTCTAAGTCTTCTCCTGGCCTCAAATGTTCCCCTCCTTCTCCTTCTAAAGAACAGCTATGAGGAGATCAGAGACTTCTACTTGCTTTTTTAAAATTTATTTATCTGTTATATTTATATTATGCGTTTCCTTTAATGAACTCAGCATGGTATAAAGATTCTCCTCCTTCCAACTTCACAAACCTATGAATTAGGTCAGGTTGGGAGAGTATGATTCACTCAAGATCACCCAGTGAGTTTCCCGACAATTGAAGATTTGCACTCAGTTCTCCTAAATCCAAGTCTGACACGCTAATCAAAAGCGTGCACTGGCCATTTTACATTAATTGTAGTTTAACTCAACATCTAAACCCTATATTGTAGTTAATGTCAATGGTGGTTATGGTTGTTGTGGTTTTTTCGGGCTCTTTGCCCATGTTCTGAAGGTTGTTCTTCCTAACGTTTTGCCAGTCTGTGGCCGGCATCTTCAGAGGACTGGAGTAGGAAAACTGTTCATATTCTGTTGATGTTTGTTGGATAGTTGAGTATTTATAGCTGTGGGAACAGCTTTTGGTCTTTTCAGGAGATAGGGTGATCAACATGTTTTTGTGCTGATACTACTCCAGCCATCTGAAGATGCCAGCCACAGAGACTGGCGAAAGGTCAGGAAGAACAACCTTCAGAATACGGCCAAAGAGCCCGAAAAACCCGTAACAACCATCAGAACCTGGCCGTGAAAGCGTTCGAGAATACATTCAATGGTGGTTAGTTAAAACAAGCCATCTTATTGTATGAACTTGGTTTGTTTTAACTGTTGTTAAGACTAAATACAGTTTGCTTAGGTTCAAGCAACACATTAATGTGAAGCTTATCTAGAATGGAAATGCAATTTTCTAAACTCCTCCATGTAACAATACAAGACAAAGAGGAAGGAAGCACATGAAACTAAGGCTCCCCGTAGCTCATTCACTTAATGCCAATTATTGTGCAGTGTTATGCTTAAATCAGACCAATCCCACTTATTTTAAAATTAACCCAACATTTTTCTTAGTTTTTTTTTTCAAATTAATGTGCAAATAGACAATGCAACTTGATACAAAAATGCAGGATGTGGTACCTTCTCATGCTTAGATCCTATAAGAAGATAGGTAGGGCCTTGTTCTTTAGGATGGATGACAATTGTATAATGTGTTGATAGTAAACTGCGGCCACTGGCCTCATAATCTTCATCAGAATCACAAGATCGGTCAACTTCTTCAACTTTAGCTTCCCAAAGCTTTATCTGGCCCAAAGGAAACTAGAAGTAAAGACATTAGCTAAGACTAAAGTGGAAACATGTATATTGGTGAACACCAAGAAAAAACAACAAACATAATTTTTCCTTAAGTACGGTTTAAATTTTTAGGGAGCAAACTAAAACTTAGTAAAAGCTAGTAAGTTCTCGATTCATCACTGGAACAAACTTGCAAGTAACTGTGATTAGGATCTGTTGATTCTAAATTGACCTGGGTCAAATATGGTTGTTCTCCTTTTTAGAAGCTGTTCCAAAAATTGGCACCAATCAACAATCTGGTTGCAACAGTTCTAAACCAGCCCATGTTTCTGAATGATCTTTAAAGGCAGCCCTAATACAAAGGCATTACAGTAATTCAACAACATATGTTACCATAGCCAAATCAACATGTCCAGGAATAGGCACAGCTGACACATTAGCTTTAACTCTGTAAACACACAACTGGTGACAATACCTGTGTGTCCAGGTTCAGAGAATGAGTCCACAAGTACACCTGAGCTGTAAGCCTAAATTGTTGGGGGAGTATCACCTCATCCACCACAAATCAAATCCTTTTCAAGGAGCCTATATATGGATTAGATTTCATTCCTTTATTTTGTCAGTGAAGCTGTATTCCCTTTTTTTGCCATTTCAATTTCGAGTTCAGCATGTTTAGTAATAATACACTACAATGGTTTGGTGAACACCGCCAAAATGGGCTCCTTCTCCTGACAGAGATTTAAGAAATGCAAAATTTACTGTCTACTAATTGTATAGTCTTCATTCCTTAATGGTCATCTTCATCTCCCCCCCCTTTTATTTTTTTAAATGCAGTATCCATCAACTTTTTAAAAGTGCAGCAATGGGTAATGCACACATATAGCTTTATGATACGCCTGAGTCTTGGAGAATGGCTTCATGTACAGTGGTGCCTCGCTTAGCGATCGCTCCGTTAAGCGATGAAATCACTTTGCAGTGGACTTTTGGGCATCGCTGGAGCAATTGCTTAGCGATGTCCCCTATGGCTAAAATTCGCTTTGCAATGATCGCGGGGAAGCGATCATGGCAAAGCGAACTTTTTTAAACAGCTGATCGGCGGTTCCAAAATGGCCACCGCAAAAACAAAATGGCTGCCGCTGTTTTGCCTCGCTTTAGAGGCACCCAAAATGGTCGCCACTATGGAGGAATTTCGCTTTAAGGTAAGTTTTTAGCCCATAGGAACGTATTAAACACGTTTTAATATGTTCCTATGGGCTTTTTAATATCGCTTAGCAATTAAATCACTTAGCGATGTTTTTTCCGGAACGGATGAACTTCGGTAAGTGAGGCACCATTGTACTTCTCCAAACATACCCCCTCAGACTGCCATTTTTGTGTTCTTAGACTAGTTCAACAGAACAGAAGAGTACAGTGTTCTTGACCCAGAAAGAAACCACACTGAGAAATGAATTTTCAAACACTTAAGTGATTAGAAATAAATTGTAATTTCTCATTAGGTTTAAAAGACAAACCTTATCTTCTTGGCTGCGGAAATAGTATAATGTTTTTCTGACCAGCATACACCATACTCTTTTGGAATAGCCATGCTTTACCTGCAAGGAGAGAAATTAAAGGATGCCTGTTTTGTAGGGGCTATAAAATGTTGTTGCTATAATGTTGGATTGCACAGTTATATAAGGACTATTGTGCAGATGGGGCGAATTATTTTCCAGTTTCTTGTTGTTTGCCTGGTTGTCCCAATGCTGCAACCGGTTATGCAATGGCTAGCCAGAGAAATTGAGAGAACCACCTAGGCAACTTTTAGTACCATTCATGGTGAACTGAACAGGATACCGGCCAAAATATTTTATAACACTAGGAATCATTTTTAGAAATAGACTTGTAAGAAGAAACTGAAGTTGGGATTCAAATTAATACTTTGTTCCATATTATTATCTTCAATACCAATAAGCTATAACCTTCCAGCCATGTATGTTAAATCTCTCTCAGTACAACAGATATCAGTGAGAACAAATGCACAAAAATGTATTTTGACATAATGCTAGAACAAGGCTAACTCTGCTTAGGTTGACATGTTCTCTCCTGCTCTACATGGCCACAAGCAGATCAGAAGCATTCAGTACCATTGTAGACTAAATTATTTACAAATGGTTAGGATTTCTTCAAACACATCAAAATAACCTATTTACGTACAAATGGTTAGGATTTCTTCAAACACATCTGCTTCATAAACTATGGCTTGTTGGCTTTTTTTTCCAACACACCATAGATTAAATCAATGTATGGATGTGTCAAGCAGGACATGACAAGCTGCCATTAATCCAAAATAGAAGCAAAAGGTTCCACATGCACTGAATGACAAGCTGCCATTAATCCAAAATCGAAGCAAAAGGTTCCAAATGCACTGAGACTACATTAGAAGCAGAGGGAGGAGCACATGAGCTGAAAAAGGGAGGCTTTACTAGAGCTATATGTCAAGTTATAGAATGACATAACTGTGCACTGAGAACAGCTTTACATTGTGAACTAGGTGGAAATTAAACATGCCAAGTTTAATTAATTACCACTAATCATATTAATTCAGTTACTTTTATTTATAGAACAAGAGGCAGCCCTCTTTAGAATATTTAATTGACAGAAAAGATCATAAGGAGATATACAGTAGTTTTATACAACTGAATACTTTTTGAGAAAGTGTAATGTATTTCAGCCACTACAAAGCGAAAGGACCTCAGCACAACGAGAGAAACAGGAGGCGTGGAAATAGAGAAAGCATCCTTTTTCTGTCTGTTCCTTCCTAAAATTTCCTCCCAACACCTCCATCTGCAAAACAAGCTGCTCAAAGCTACTCTCCTACTTATCAGAATCTTTAAGAAAAGCACACGCTTAAGCCAAAGATAATTTGCTGCCATTTATGTACTTGAACGCCATAATTCCTGACTGCTGAGGCTGATACAAGGTGATGTTTATGAATGAATGAATGAATGAATGAATGAATGAATGAATGAATGAATGAATGAATGAATGAATGAATGAATGAATGAATGTTCAACTGGATCAGGCAAACTGCAGGTTCACAACTCCTTTCCTAGTGTTTGGGGTATGCTGCAAAATTTTCTTACAGGTCTCCATTTACAGCTTCAGAATTTGGAAGTTCTGTCAACAAGTATCATTAATGTTAGTTATAGCCCTGTGTAGAGTATGTTTGTTGATTATCGCTTTTAAATCTCCTTAGCTAGCTGCCATTTTTACACCTTGCACCAACAATGAACTCTATAAGGCAATTATTCTTCATAATTGAAAAAGGCCTTTTTTTTCACCGAACTTACTGCCATCAATTTCACTACTCCATCTGAACTTCTAATATGTTTATAACTCCTCAGTGATTTGTACCATGAATGTACCTAGTTCCAAGTTCTTCAGACTGTTTTTACAGGGAAAGTAATCCAATCCTTAATCATTTAATTGCCATTTTCTACATACTGTCCTAATGTAGGATGTATTTTTCAAAATGGACAAAGGACTGCCTCGCCTAATGATCTTAACCTTCTCGGCAGGGAAACATGGTCTTGAGAATGTGTGTATGTACACATAAAGATACACTTCGGTGTTATTTTCTACCATTTCTTAATAATTAACCATTCTCCATAAAGAAAACTAAATGTCACTTCCTGTGCTTCTTCTCTTTAATCATTTACTATTCCATATAAAAGGTATTTAAAACAAAGTTTCCCCTTGAAGAACAATGCAGATTCTTTACAAGACTTTTTATTATGCACATCTACAAATTTAGCCTTCCATTATGCTTTTAAATGTAAATGTTTTACTTTAAATACCACAAAGAGATTTTTAAAAGACCAGGTCACTGAGATCTTTTCCACACATGAATACAACACTTGCCTCTCTCACAATCTTTGTGGAACAGAACAGCTTTTACGATAAAGCCAGATATTAGTTCAAACAAAGACCTCCTCCCAAAGGAAACTCCAGCTCCGGAGGAGGAATTTTCCTCGGGATTGTAGTAGGAAAAAGAATTAAATTCTCCTTCCGTTAAGTGCTGAGACCTGGATATTTATCAGTCTTCCCACCCAGCACCTGATATGCTTTGAATTATTTTTTTAATATACAAGCTAAGTGCAAAGATGTCTGAAACGTTTCTTCAAGTCTGACCCAAATAATTCTTTAGAAAGGGTGGGTAGTCCAAATTTTACTACAAAATAAGGGAGGGGGGAATCTAGCCTTGGGAGCATGTCTCTAGCCCTCTGTAGCAGTTATAACCCCATTTTAAACAGGCTTACCCTTGCTAACATTTTGTGCATGAACCAGTACAGTATGTCTTTTTATGCAAAGCACTGGGTCAGGATTGGAAGTACAGGAAACTACAAATCTCATGCACTGTGGCAGTTTCCAAGCATACTGTACCACAGTTCAACACTAGTGAGCCTTTGCTGTCCCTGACAAGCCCTACCACTAATGCGCAGCAATTTATTTAATTTATTTATTAGCTGCATTTATACCGCACTTTTCCTCCAGTGGGCTCAAAACAGCATACAAGCCAAATCTCCCCTTTGCTTTTACCTTCACAGCAACCCTGTGAGGTTGGTTAGGCTGCAAGACTGTTAAAGCCCAAAGTCATCAAGTGAGTTTTGTGGCAGAGTGAAGTTTAAACCCAGGCTTCCTCCTGAGCCATCCTCTAACCCTCTAACCACTACACTGCACTAACCTAAGAGGAAAGAAGAATACTGCAAAAACAGAACACTGGCATTGACCAGGAATGGGGACTTGAGCTGTGGGACTTGCTGTCAAGTTGGACTTAAGTCACACTGGTACAGTGGTACCTCGACTTAGGAACTTAATCCGTATTGGAACGGCGTTCGTATGTCAAAATATTCGTAAGTTGAGGCAAATTTTCCCATAGGAATGCATTGAAAACCATTTAATCCATTGTGGCCGTTTTTTGTTCTTGTCGAGGCAGTGTTCGCAAGTAGAGGCATTAGTTCCCATAGGAACTAATACAAATCCGGTTAATCCATACTCTACCACTAGGGGGAGAGTTTTTAAATTTTCTTCTTCTTTTGACCTAAGATGAACTTAGGTCAAAAAAAGGGCAGGAAAGTTGTTTTTTTTCATTCATAAGACGAAGCTCTGTTCGCAACTCGAAGTAAAATTTTGCGAACGGAGCCATTTGTAACTCAAAATGTTCGTAGGTAGGGATGTTCGTAAGTCAAGGTACCACTGTAATTCGACTCAGACTTGAGGCCTTTTTTTTTCAGTGACCGAGACTCAACTCATGACTCAGAACGTGAATGGGGGGGGAGAGCTTCTTTTAAAAAGGACTTGGAGCTTGGGACTTGGGTACCAAAGACTCAAACTTGTGACTTGGTACCAAAGACTTGCCAACTTCCCTGGTATTTACCTTAGTGAGCAAGCCTTTCATGGCTGGTTTGACATCAGGATGAATGAAAAGGGAACTTGCAGCCTGTACTTTAAGAACATTCTGCAGTACTTTGATCCATTCTTCCAAGATGTTTGGGGAATCTGCAGTCAAGTAATAGGTTCGCTTTTCAGTAGTCAGCTGAAAAAGTAATAGAAGAAATAATAATATACTAAACACACACTGTTCACAAAAATCATGCAAATAAAAGCAGGTGACAAATGCATCCTGAAATTAAGCTTACTTCAGTCTGAGTGAATGAGAAGACTATTAAGTATTTCAACTGACCAATATTCATTTACAATTTTTTTTAAAAAAAATTAGTAGTTATTTAAAATTCTCTAGTTAAATTCTTTAAAAACTATTGCAAATTGTTAAAGGTTTCTGAAAATCATTGTGAACCAATGTATCTGTGGGGGATCAGTTCCAAGTCCCCCAACGGATGCTGAAATACACGGAACGTTATTTTAATAGCGAATGCTCTACATAGCATGTTCTCTGTCTCAATCTAGTGGCCAATTCTGGCAAATTCTTTGTTAAAAATACATATGTTGAGGATTTTTCTTTTAATATTTTTAATATTTACAGACTCTAGCTAAGTGAATCAGCAGTTACTGATCTCACAGATAAGGGGGTCCCTCCTGTAATTTTAATGTAACAAACTGGATCTGTCAATTCATCTTTGGAAATATTTGAAACAATATTCATGAGACACCTCTGCAATGCCTTCTCTCCTCTCCAATCAGAGGTATTAAGAGTGAACAATATGCTGAGTATGAAGACCAATACTAGATCTGTCCTCTGTTATGCTATAGACAGTAGTCTCATAGATGGCCTTACAGAAGAATTTGAAAGATAGGTGGAAAAACAGTTGTGTTCCACCACAGAACTGTCCTAGTTTTACAGACGGTGATACAGCAAGATGAAACAAGAGCAAATAAGGTCAAAATATCCCAGATGTTATATATAGTAGTCTCCTCCAACATGGAAATCTCTAGATGCCTTGATTACAATTCTTACCAATATTGATCACTGGCCATGTTGGCTGGGGCTGCTAGGATTTATAGTTCAAAACAGCCGGAGGCTTCCATATTTGTAGAAAGCTGTTTCATAGGATGTTGGTGAGTGGCTTGGGAAAGAGCCTAGAATCCTGCTTCCCTCCCATTCCACCACCACCGAATTTCACAGGTCTTAATAATGTAAAGAGTCAGCAGGTATCAACATTAACCATTACAAATCAGCACAGAAATAAAATGAGTTCCATGGAAATGGCACTAAGTAAGACTAATGAAAGAGACAAAGGTTGCTTTAAAAATGAAAAGGTGTCCTCCCCTCTACCCCTTCACAAAAAGAAAGGCCACCTTCAGTCAAATACAGTAAGCTGAGAAAGCACCTGAACTGTTTGTTTTCCATCACCTCTCACAATGCGGCTGGAAGCACTCAATTCAATTTGACCTTGGGGTTTTCGTATAACATCACTCTGTAGAGGAAAGAGTCAAACACAGTAGCATAGCAGTAAACCTTATTATAACTTTTATACATAAAGGATCTGAGTGTTCATGGTTTAACAACCTATTTTCTTATCACCCCATAGATCAAACGTTTCAGAAGCAAGAGGCCCGGTAAAACATTTATAGACAATGTTAAGTCTTATTTGGTTATATACATTAGTCTACTGTCTACAGCTTTCATTTATTGATTGATTACATTTAATTCCTCCATGGAACTCACAATGGCATGCATAGTTCTTGTCTCCCTGATACCCGTTTTACACTTGTAAAAGCTCTCTGGTAGGGTTTTCCTTCTGGTAGCTGTGTTAAATTGGCACATCAAAAGGTCTTGTGATATTTGGAAGATTAAAAAAATTGATTGCAGCATAACTTTTGGAGATACAGATACTCTTACTAAGAGACAGTGCCTGTCTTCTAACACTCGTATCTTGACTTCATTAAAATGGGATTACACGTGAGCCTTTTGCCCAAGCATGCTTCCCACTTTCTCCTCCATTTACATGGCACTGAAATGTAGACAACTCCAAATCACCATTCCAACCATATCTGGAAACTATGTTTACCAGCTTCTACATAGGCCATGATAGTAAACAAATGTTGAACTATAGTTTTAGCTTCCGATTTGTTTCAAAGCTGGTAAAAAATGAAATTCTGGTCTAAGTTTTCTGGTTGAGATGAAATAGCACTTGGGGACTTTCTCATCTGACTGAAGAATGTCAAGAACGAGGGAGAAGCCCTGTGCATAAGGATTTGAAATGTGATTGTCCAAATGAAGCCGGTAACTCCATTCCAAGATCAGGAAGTGAGAGCTTCACGGCTGAGTAAGGATCTGAATCTAGTCTGGCATTCTAATCACTACATTCTTTTGGGGGTATGGGGAAAGACAAACATACAGGAAAAGGGAAAGCATTGTATTTGTGCTCAGCTTCTTCAAAAGGCAAGAAGTCTAAAAATATCTCTACAAGGACTATCTTCCTTTCAGTGAGAGAACAGTTAATATTAGTGTTGTAATCTCTCTTTTTTGTATGCAGAATTAGTGTAGGGAAATCTCCCCAGAGGGAGACCACAGCTGCGATACAAGGATATCTGCAAGCAGGATCAGAAGGCCTCAGGAATGGACCCCAACAGATGGGAAACCTTGACAGCTGAGCGTTCAGCCTGGAGGCAGGCGGTGCATCACAGCCTCTCCCAATTTGAAGAGACCTTTGTCCAGCAGGCAGAGGCAAAGAGGCAGTCCCGAAAGCAGCCAAATCAGGGAGCTGGACAGGGGACAGATTGTATTTGTCTTCAGTGTGGAAGGGATTGTCACTCTTGAATTGGCCTTCTCAGCCTCACTAGATGCTGTTCCAAGACCTCCAATACAGAGCACGTTACCCTAGTCTCTCGAGACTGAAGGATGCCTACTACTACTAATCTTTTTTTTTTAATTTACAAACATACCAACAGAACTTGTTGGGCACAAACACTTCAAAAGAGGCAGAAAACTACTGATCCTGGACCAAAGTCCCTAAAACAAAGCAGTCAGGCCCATTACCAGGGTTCATTCAGTCCTGCTGGAAAGAGAAGATTTTTCCAGTAATCAAGGAATAATACTTTTTTTCACTACATAATCAACCGACCAACAGTAGCTCATGACAGGCCCATTCATCAGAGTCATGACAGCCATAGTGACAACCATGCCACATAGCAAACAGATTGCACTCACTTACCGGAGACTTGTAGTAAAGCAGTTCACCTCCTTTTAGTACAAACCACCGTCGTTTCCAAGTCTTTATTTTACCACCCATTTTTAACAAATATCCAGATTTTTCCAATGGTTCCTGCAGTGCAAAAGAGATTTTCGAAGTATAAAAATGTAAATGTGGCTTATTGTCTTCCCTTTCACTACAGACTATCACAGTATAGAGTTGATAACTAGGTTGATCAGCAAGCACTACTGATGCAATGGTGTCATGGAGCAAATAAGTCTATCAAAAAGTTCCACTTTCCTTTAAGGAAACGAGCCCTAACCACTCAGTCATACAGCCTGCTTCTTCTCTCGACAATTCTTCACTTCTTGTCTTCCTATATTCTTAAAATGTATGGTTTCTATAGGAAGTGGTGGGAAGAATTTGAATTAAATGTATGTAACCTTGACATACCTTCTTATTTCCACTGTTTTATCAGAAGGTAAGAGGCAGACAAATCTATTTAGTCCAGCATTCTGTTTCCCACAGTGATATCTGCCTATAGGAAGCTGATGGATATGACACAGGGGCAATTTTCCTGTCTTACTTATTCCTCAGTAAGAAATATTCAGAACCATGCTACCTCAGATGCTGAAAGTAATACAAAGGCATGGTAATCCTTGGTCTAGATGGGCGGGATAGATATCTAATAAATAAATAGAAAAATAGATAAATAAATAAATGAGTAACTAACTAACTAACTAACTAAAACTTCAAAGTTTTAATGCTCACTTATAAGGCCCTAAACGGTTTGGGACCTCGATACTTGGCGGAACGCCTTCACCCACCAAGTTCTACCCGAACCACCCGTGCGAGCCAGGAGGTGAGGCTGAGGAGCATGACGCCGAGGGAGGCCTGGAGGGAGAAGACAAGAAACCGGGCCTTCTCGGCGGTGGCTCCTCGCCTTTGGAACAATCTCCCTCCTGAGATTCGCGCGGCCCCTTCGCTGGGTACATTCAAAACTCAATTAAAAACATGGCTTTATGTCAAGGCCTTCCCTCCTGCCAGCATCTAATCTAATTTAAATTATTTCTCTCTTCCTTTTCTATTTATTACTTATGATTTTATTATGTTCTGTTAATCGATATTTTGGATTTATGTTATTATAATTGTATACTTTTCTGTGTTAGCCGCTCAGAGTGGTACCGAGTTACCAGATGGGCGGGATATAAATCAAATAAATAAATAAATAAATAAACAAACTAACTAGTAACCACAGACAATCTTATCCTCCATGTGTTATCTCCCTTAAAAGTAAGCTCATAGACATCAACACATCCTGTGACACTGAATTCCATGGTATGACTATGTACCATTTGAAGAAATGCTCAGACTTATCTATTTCCCAGCATGCAGTTTCACTGGAGGACACTGGATTCTGCAGAAAAATTCCCTATTCCCTTCGTTCACACTGTTCACAGTTCCATTCATTGCATCCTGTCTCCCTTTACTTGTCTCTTTAAAAAAAATTAAAAAGCCCCAGACACTGTAACTTTTCCTTATACTGGAAATGCTCCAGCTCCCTCTCATTTTAGCTGGGTTTTTTCCTGCACCTGTCCATTTCTTCTGCACCTTCTTTTTATGGCCAGAAATGTATACAATATTTCAAATGTGGTTCCACCATGTATTTGTATAAAGGCATTATGGCATTGTTCTATGATGAATCCCTTTTCTAACAAGGAGGTTACCTTAGTCACAGTGCATGATCATGGATCTGTTGTTTGAGCCACAAGACACTTTTTTTTGTCAGTATCAGATCACACTCCCGCAACAGCATATATATGAGGGTCACTATCAATTGGATAAGACTTGCTTATAAGCAATTTATTTATTTATTTATTTGATTTTTACCCCGCCCCTCTAGACCATGTCTACTCGGGGCGGCTTACAAAATAAAACAAAACAGTATAAAAATATATAAAATCATAAAATTATAAATTTCAATTTAAAACAATTAATTTAAAGAGAGGATTACCAAGATGGAATAGCAAAGGAAAAAAAAAGAGAGAGAAAGCAAATATATTAGCAAATATATTATACTCACATTTTTCCCATTATCACTAGATGATGAGGAGGTTTTAGGCAATTTTTGTTCTGGTTCTGAGTAATCTGTATCAGTTGAGTATGCATCAGGAGGAATGGCATAATCACCTTCTGAAGTCATAGAAGACAGAGAGACACCTGAGAGGAAAGCAAATAAACACAATATTATTTCTCTGCTAAACCTTGATGAAACAACAACCACACAAAGACCCTGGTCAGTATGGAAGATGTACCTTATAATGACTGAATGGTCAGTAGCAAGTCACAACTGGAGAAGGTAAGTTCCAGTCATTCAATGGGCCTATAGTAAGTTGTGACTTACTGCTGGATTTCAGTGACTACATGGAATATCATATTAATATCCCCCTTTCCCCTCTTGAGAAATGGTAAAGAGGCTCCAAGAATAGGAAGAGCATGTCCTCCTCAGGGACAGCACTATACACCAGTAGTATGTGTTCTTTCAGTTTTGCATAAACTCATTTTTATTTTCAGTTATCTGTGTAAATAATCAGTGAAAAAATCTCAGTCAGTTGCTCTGAAATTACACAATTATTATTTCTTTCACATGACTTGCTAGATAGGTTTAATATGTATTATTAGGGTCCGGGGGGGGGCATTCACACTTTGTCAATGGCCTACTACTTACTAAATAGAGATGCTCAACAAACTATATATTTTTAATACGTATAACGGCAATCAGGCTTGGCCATCATCCTTCAGGCAGCAGACATAGGCAAACTGTGATTTAGGAAATAAAGAAGCCTCTTTCACATTTAGAAGTATAAGGTGAGAAGGTATATAACCCGGTCACTTGTACACACTCAAAACTTCAGTTTCAGAAGAGTCTCAGTTATGTATTTAAAAAGCTTGATTTGTTTTGCTTCTTTACTTGTAAGACACCTGCCCTCTGCTTGCAACAGATATATTTTTCCCTCTTCAAACGCATTTCACTTTGCCCAAGTTCTTCAGTCTGTTACAGTCATCTTGAATCCTAATACGTCCTCTGAAATATTACCATCACCACCTTCGAACCACTATGAAGCTATCTACAGATCTGATGAGTATCCCTTTACCCCTTCGCCTAACACATTAGATGAGGATAACCCTGAACACTACTAGATCCAGGACAGACCTCTGTAACATTCCACGCCTCTCCAGCATGACAATAAACCATTGTTGATATTTTATGGCTATAGTCCACCACCCAGCTACTAACTCTATAAACAAAAAAATAGGTAAGATTAATCTGGCATTTGGATTGTTTTTGAGAAATCCATTCTGATTCTTAGTAATCGACAATATTATTTTCTAAGTGCTCATGGATTGACTATTTAAATAACTTGCTCCAGAAATTATTCTGGCATCCATAACAAGATGACCAGTTGGTAGTTGTCCTTTTGAAGGTGGTGACCATACTTCCCAGCCTTCATCTGGAAGTTGAATCATGGCAACTGGACTTCTTTCTTATTGGGTTGAAATGTTTTGCTACTCATCCAAGCAGCTTCTTCAGTCTGAGGAGAGCTGGGCCAGGACTACACACACCAGAAAGACCACCGTTAACGACCCATGACAATGGGTGGAGAAAGACCCCAGTAGTAGGATTATCACTTACTCCCAGTCCTTTGTTCGTCTAACAAACCTATTCAGACGAGGGGGAAGTGAAACCAACATGGAGGATATATCAGGGGTCTCCTACCAATTCTCCTCAGACTGAAGAAGCTGCTTGGATGAGTTGTGAAACATTTCAACCCTAATAAGAAAGAAGTCCAGTTGCCATGACTCAGCTTCCAGACAAACTCATCTGGATGACTGAGGATCTTGACAGATATATTCTTCCCAGCCTTCAGTTTTGAGGGACCTAATCTTTTCTTGGAGAATTTTCAATGATTATACACAGCCTTCTATTCTTCCGAGGTTAGTAAATTGGATGAGTTGTGAAACATTTCAACCCTAATAAGAAAGAAGTCCAGTTGCCATGACTCAGCTTCCAGACAAACTCATCTGGATGACTGAGGATCTTGACAGATATATTCTTCCCAGCCTTCAGTTTTGAGGGACCTAATCTTTTCTTGGAGAATTTTCAATGATTATACACAGCCTTCTATTCTTCCGAGGTTAGTAAAATGACTACCCCAAACTCACCTGGATGACTGAGGATCTTGACAGATAAATTCTTCCCAGCCTTCAGTTTTGAGGGAACCTAATCTTTTCTTGGAGAATTTTCAATGATTATACACAGCCTTCTATTCTTCCGAGGTTAGTAAAATGAGTACCCAGCTTGCTGGGAGGCGGCAATGTGTAGCCTGCACAATTAACTTGTAAACCGCCCAAAGAATGTTTAAGTGCTATGGGGAAGTATATAAAAATAGCACACTTTTTTTGGTTTTGCAATAATTTGTGATTTTGCTTTGTGAACTCCCTTCTCTGAATATTTCTGACCATGGTGTCTCCTTAAGCTCACTAAAATTAGCTTTTAAAAACTCCATAGTGTCCTTCATACTACCTTCAGCTTTCCTCATCTACAATAAAATGAATCTCAAGAGGGCAGAATGTCACCCATTACATAAAGAGTTCATTCATTTGATGCGATACATGCTTTGTGGTGTCAGCAATTCTACAGATAAGAAACAAAAATAAATAGATGCAAATATAGTGAAATTGAAAAGAGACTTCTGAATTACCATTTACAAAGATGGCAGCTGCAGCTTCCCTTCCCTAAGTGACATTACAGCCGCCATCTTGGCAAAGCGAAGCCAGTGTCCCTTTCTACAGGCCATGGCTGTGGAGGCGTGCTGGAGACGACGGTGATGGTGATTACAGGGGGGGTGGCGGCAGTGGGTTTTTTGCTAAGGTAAGGAGAGGAATGGGCAGGGGATAAGCTGTGGGGGGTGGCTGCTGATCAGCGGACCGGTAGGCAGAATGGGAAAGCCATAGAAAGAGAGAGAAGGTTAGCCTTCCCTCTCTTCATATGGGGGATGAATAAAAATGGGGCAATATACATCCTTTCGTATTTGTCGGGGTCTCTGAAGCCCATGAATATGAAGGGACGAATATTTAACAAATCAGCGATTTCTGACAAATATCGCAATCCTTTTTTTATTCGTTCCCATGTCTATTAGTAACATAATTGTTTTTGTCAGTGCTTTTTGCATTTAGTTTCTCCTGTGAACGTGAACTAATCCTATCCTGTCAGTAATCCTATCTCCTATTATATATAATATATTAATCCCTAAACCTATGGTTAATACTTTGTACCCCTATGGAAGTAGACTATGTAGTCCAAAACAGGTCCCCATATAATAAATTTGTTAGCCTTTAAAGTGTTACTGCATTTATTGTTTTTGCTGCAACAGACAACTCTGCTGGAAGTTCATTCTATCATTATTCCCAAATCAACTCTATTTCACTCTAAAATCATTAGCATTGACTGTTCAACAAACTATTGGTCAGCTTGAATACAAACAATGGCTTATTCATACTAATACAGCATCTTCTTTAAAGAGTTGACTTGAAGTCACAGTACGCTCTTCAATATTTTTTCTTTTGGCTATACAGTATAATGATTAGTTGAATAACATCAAGGACTCTTAAATTAACCACTCAAACGTTGAATTTTGGCATATGCCTAGATTTCCAGTGTTCTAGAAACTCAAAAAGATATGCGTCATTATGCCACATGGACTGTATCAGTAAGTTCTTTGTCACTGTAAAGCATGGCGACTATACATCAAATGATAGAGCAATTAATAGGCAAATATATTTTCTAATGAATGTCTTAGAAATTCATATTGTAATACAGTGATTAAAATCCTGTAATGTAGCTATGCCTGCTTAATGTGAAGTTGCACAAGCTATTGTAAAATTTGGACCAAAGTGGAAGTCTCATCTAGGAAGCATCTGGATGATTAATCATGTGGTCAACTGCACGGTCAATGTGCTCAATTGTACGGTCTGTTGTGCAGTCCATTGTGTTATAAGGCATATACTAGGGTATGTACTTCTGCAAGTGTAATTTCGCTACATCAAGTGCAATAGGATTTCAGCCATTATTTAAAAGAAGAGGTTCCTTTCACACATCTGCTCTGTTATGGGAAACTTAAAAGAGATGTGTAGATATATATTTTATTCATTGTTTTACTAAGTGATGAAAAATATTCTAACCTCACCCTCAAGATCAATCAAGTCACCAGTCTTTCAAAGGATTTGGAACAATTTGACATTATTGTAGCATTCTGCCCACCTCGTTTCATAGCCCGTGGACTACTGGGGCCGCTTCTGCTTCGAGAATCTGATTCAGATGTCCGTGAACTAGATCGAGAACTATCTTCTTCTTCAGAGCCAGAGGAATCATCTAAGAATGGGTTGTTGCTGATTTGTGTTGCTTTCTACAGAAAGGAACAAGCTATTTCTTAAAACCTTGCACAGTTCTTCTAAACTGGAAATTAAATTTCATTTTACAACTGTGAAATTTTATACCATGACAGTCACAGCTGTTTGAAATGATACTGTTACTGTTGTATATATAAATCGAAGGAGTTATAGAGTTGCAGGCTATAGTTGAATAAATGTTGATTGGCATTTTGACTATGTTTTATCTGTTTGATAATCAGAAATGCTGCTCAGCTGAAAGTACTGGTCCACTGATATGCATAGAGGGTTCTGTGAAAGTTAGTCTGTAGGGGGATGGGTCACTATTTGTTTCCCATTTTAAGTTACTGTCATGTTGTAGATGCTGCTATAATTTTCTGGTATAGGAATGTTTGGCTGTTAGCTCCTCACTGTTTCCAACCGAACAGCTGTATTTTCCTACTCACATGGACTACCAATCAGATCCTTTACTCCCATATCATAAAATATTTTGCTGAAGCTGAGTGGAATATTTAAGTTTAGTATTCAATATCTGGCTCTTTCCATTCACATTCTTTCCATCAATATTTCTGGCTCTGCTGCATTTTGAATGCAACAACGTGTTCAGGTTTTGCCTGTAAAATTCTAATACACCACTGGACGGCTCCCACTCTTTAAGTATTTTAGCATTTTTGTTTCACAGTTTAACTCTCTTCATATTAAAAAAATAAAAATAAGCAGCAGAGCTAGCATTATGATTAGATACATATGAGAAAATAAAATATTATAAAATGTACTGTATATTGGGGAGGGAGGAAGCTTTTAAAGTCCTGAAATTTAGACTGTAGTTTTTAACTGGGATATTACATCTTGATTTTACATAAAGTCATCATGCTCTGGGATGCAAACACCAAGACAAGCCATGTATAATTCTTCCTAAGCAATAACATTTGTTTTTCCAGCACTTAAAAAGAAATTCCAGTACAAGCAGAGGCTTGTGACACATAAGAAATGCCATATTTTGTACATCTTTGATACAACACTTTAAAGAAAATGCTTACCCCTTTAAGAGTGGTATAGACGGGTGTAGTCACATTCTTGTATATTAATGACGTGTAGAGTCCTGACGGTGAATAAGAAGTTGAGCAGCCTGAAATAAATAGTTGTGTGTTTTTTTTCAAAATAGCATCTAAAAACACTGAGTCTGTTTGTATTTATAAAGGCTGCTCACTGACTGAACTCTTGGACAAAGTTTTAGTCTGGCTAATATAGACTTATAAAGCACAGAAGGCCATACATTACTCCTCTTTTATATAAGAAGGACACATTTTCTACAGGGTTAACGTTTTAGCTAGAGCTGATGAAATTAGATAATTTTATAATATATACAGCAAGTAAGTAAAGTACAGCAGGAATGGCCATAACTAAGAAATAGCAATATGAGTTAATTCAGGTAAAAATTCTGTCTTCTTCAGTGACTATTCTTCAAAGTTAGCTAGCTAGCTAGATAGATAGATAGATAGATACAAATACACAGAAAGCACCTTTAGGAGGTACCTTTTAACAAAATGTACCAGATTATATTACACCACTCCTAGGCATTGCTACATAAGAGGTAAGGCTTGTATTTAAATTTGTAATTTCAGTTCTGACAACATACCTTTACTGAAAGAGTCCATGCTGAAGGCCTCAGAAAAATGTAAGCCTGACTTGGCTACAGCATAAATTCTGCTTTCCTGACACAAAAACAAGGTTTTTAATAATGTTTTAATGCTTTCTTTCCACAACTTTTATGCTATGTTTACATTTAATCAACGGACCAATTCCCATTGAGCTCCTACGGTAAAATCAACATCTTATTTAAGTTTAGAAGCACAACAATCAAACCCTAAAAACCATATGACTGGAATCCTGCTGGCATTAGTTATGCCTAAGCAAAGTCTCTATGCTGTGGCCATTTGGGAGGAATTGAAAACTTCCTATTCTCCTCCGGCCAGGTTCCGGTGATTCTTATGCATCCCCTCCATTCAAGAAGTCTTCAGGACTCTAAAGCTGGAAAATCAACATCACCAGAGTTCCAAAGCATAACTTATACCAAAAGGATTCTGTTCAATACTGTAATCCTACTTTACAGTTCTCCCACCCACAACCCTTCATTCAAATTTTCTCAAGAGATGGATGGTCAATATTGGCAGTAATTCAGCTAGTCTCATAAAAGTATTTTGAAAGAGATCATTTTGAAGACTACCCAAGATGCCAACTGCCATGGAATTTTTACCTTCCCTGAACTTTGTAATAGGACAGGATGCTTTGTCAGCTATAAGGAGGTTCTTTTGCTGAGTAACAACAGAGGCAATTTTCGGAAAACAAATGCTTTATAGATATGTGATAAGGTTACAGGCTGCTGTCTACTCTTGATATTTTTGTCCACCCACCTCCTGCCATGTTACTGAAGATGCTCCCTCAGGGCTGTGTCCAAGACTGCTATTGTGCCCATGGAAGCAGATTTAAAAGTGCAAATATACAGTGGTGCCCCGCATAGCGACGTTAATCCGTTCCAGGATTAACATCGCTATCCGGAAACATCACTAAACGGAATTGAAAACCCCATAGGAACGCATTAAACTCTGTTTAATGCGTTCCTATGGGGCGAAAACTCACTGGTAAGCGAAGATTCCCCATCTGGCCACCATTTTCGCCACCTTGGTAAGCGAGGGCAGGGCGCGAAAATGGAGTGGGCGGCCATTTTCTGTACCCGGTGGCCATTTTGGAACCGCCGATCAGCTGTTTCCCTAACATCGCAATGCAAAGATCGGTAAGCGAAACGCTTACCTATCATCGCAATGCGATGTTTTGCCACCTAAAACATTGCAATGCGATCGCATTAGTGATCGCAAAAAACGCGTCGCTATGCGGATTCATCGTTAAACTGTGCACTCGTTAAGCAAGGCACCACTGTAATCATCGAAGAGGGAGTAACCTTTCTTCTCTTCTGTAATTCACATGTGACAGATATCTTCAAGGAATGAAAAATAGTACCAGCACATTTTCAGTGCTTAGACAGTTGCAGAAAAGATAGATAAAAATTTCAGATGCTATCATGGTCATCACACTGGATTTAAGCCTAATTGGTTAGAATCCCGCTTATGCAGGTGTAGCATAAAAGTACACCTCTGTACATTTGCTGTGTGTTACTTCTAGCCAACAAGAGTGTGCTATTTGATTGTGTGGCTATTTATTTATTTTGAGGGAGTGGGGTAAACAAGCACAGTGAGAGAGCAAGAATATTAATTGGCTCTCAAAGCTGATTCTTGAGGGTTTCTTTATTTTTTTTTAAAGCTACCTTTCTCCTTAAAAATGATCTAAGGTAGCTTACATCACTAAAAAGACAAGATTTAAAAACTTTTTAAAAAATGAGTATACAAATATTAAAAAGGAATTAAATAAATATTAAATTGAAAACTGTAAATAAAATCAATACTAAAAAGAATTTTAAAAGCAACAAGGCACAGCAATCCATTTTTTAAAAAACCCTCTCAGACAGTGAGTTGCTAAGGGAAAGCCTGCCTGAAGAGAAAAGTCTTTGTGGAAGGACAGCAAAGATGGGGCCAGCCTGGTCTCCCTCCAGGGTCTGGGAAGAACAACAGAGAAGACCCTCTCCTGTGTCCCCACCAAATGCCTATGAAGGTGGTGGGACTGAAAAGTCTCCCCTGATTATCTTAACACCCAAGCAGACTCATAAAGGGAGATAAGAGTATTTTAGATAGTTTGAACCCAAGCCGTTAGAGCTTTAAAACCAGCACTTTGAATTGTAACTGGAATGGACTGGCAGCCGCTGGAGCTGCAACAGCAGGGGGCTTATGAGGTCCCTATAAGCAACCCCCAGGTATCAATCTGGCTGCAGGGTTTCAGCTCTAGATCAGCACCTTGTGTCAGTAACGGACTGGATGAAAGTGAATCAACTGTAACTTAATCAGGCTGCAGTGTTTTGGACCCAATGAAGTTTCGGAACACTTTCCAAAGGCAGCCCCACATAGAGTGCATTACAGTAATCCAGCCAGGATATAACTATGGCATATATCACCATGGTCAGATCAGCCATCTCCAGGAAGAACCCTGCTGGTACCCTTGTTTCAACTGTGCAAATGCACTCCTAGCCATTGCTGAAACCTGGGCATCCGGGTTCAGGGGCACACCCAAGCAGTGTACCTGTGTTTTCAGAGGGAGCTGCATCCCTATTGCTTGATCTGCTTTTCAGCTGACCAGGAGGCACCTCTGTTACGTCTGGATTAAGTTTCAGTTTATTCACCTTCATCCAGTCCATTACTGACAGCAGACACTGATCTAGAGCCAAAACAGCTTCCTTGATGACCCAGGAAGGGGTGGGACGGGAAGGAACATGTTTTGTTTTGTTTTTTTGAAGGGGGAGGCAATATTCTGGCATGCCTGCCCAGCTTTGTGTCTGCCTCTGCTAGGGGACCATCCTGGGAGAAACTTCTTTTAGAAACTTCTGTCTCAGAAGCATTAAGAATGGCAAAGTGGCCGTTACAGAATATAACCAGTTCATTAGAGACCAGGAGGTGGAACAGAATAGAACAGGATATATTCTGTGACTTGATACAAAGAGAAAGGACTGTAAAACAGTTGAAGTTCCAGTGAAGGCAATGGCAAACATCGCAGATCTGCTTTTTATTTTCAGATTTTTAAGCCTAACTAATCTGTTCTTCGAAATACCATGAATGTGTATTTTTGAGTGCCAAAATCAACAAATGCAGCTATTTGTAACTGAGTAATTCTGTCCATGGAGAGGTCAAATAGAATTGATGCTTTTAAAGAAGGCCCTGCATGTAATGCACTGTTGTCACAGATGGCAAACACGTTCACATTTAAAGCGGACAGCAGATTTATTGGGCATTTAAAAAAAATTAAAAGTTAAATCCACTGTTTAATTAATAGGCTGAAATGTTATTATATATAATTTGATTTACCCAAGAAGGGAATCGATGGAGTGGAGGAGTCGGAGGCTTGCTGCCTGTCGTTTTCCTTGTGTCACCAGCATCCAGGGCTTCTGCGTTCTGTGTCTCAAAGGAGTCGTAAGTAAAGAGTTCATCATTACAGTTAATCTCCATCTTCTCCAGAACATCTGTACCTTCGCCATCCACCTGATCAATGTCTGTTTCTTGAGGCTTAAACGGGCGTATCATGCTTATAGCGTTCCTGTTTCTACCAAACATTTTATCTGAACACAGCGGAGGTTGGCTAAAATGTTTTTTGGCTAGGACTGCATTTAGAGTAAAAACACTTGGAGTCCTCAGCTTTGGAGGCGGTAAATTAGATGGCGAATCAAGCTGTCTGCCAGGCCGAGAGTCTGCTGTCAACATCAATGCTGGATGCTTGGGAGCTAGAGCAGGAGTAAGAATTGGACTTGGTGTATTTGCCTCACTAGAAGAGGAAGAGTAATCTAGCCTGTGGGACTGGAATCTTTTGTTCAATTCATCTGAAAAACTATCATGATCTTTCTTTTCATGGAGTGATTCTAACCTGTTCTTTCCAAGTAAATGATTCTGATTTTTCCAAGGTAATCCTTGTTGCCAGGAATATAGTTTTTTATTCATATTTTCGTGAGCTTGAAAACTCTCTTCTTCCAGCAAAGAACTGCTGTCATCTGAGGCAGTCAAATACATTTCACTCCCAATCCTGCTATAGCCTGTACCTTCTTCAGATGTATGACTTGAAACAGTAGATACACACCTGGATTTTGATCTTCCTTTGCTTCCTTCCTCCTCATCAGAGCTCCAGTCACTTACTGTAATGCAAGAATTCTTTGACGTGTTACTATCTAGATCTTTTGATTTTACCGCCTGCCTTTGTTCTGGCACACAAGAGCTTTGCTGCAACGGCTTCAGACCTCTATTACTCCCATATGCTTGATCAACAAAAGTTTCCTGGATTTCTTTTTCTGGAAAACAGCAAACCATGTATTTGGCAACATTTCTTTGAATGAAATAAACAGACTAATTTGTAATCGAATTGTGCAGGTTATATTCATTTAGACATAAATTTATATTCAATGAAAGAAACATAGATGCAGTTACGAAAGTAAGTAAATAAGATTGTGTAAAATACTGCCAGCTTTTCTCTAGGAAAATACAACCTTATCCACACATAGAGTAGAATGAGTTAGTAGCAGTGTGCAGTATCATTTGAGACTGTAAGTGGGAATGCATTCCCTAAATTAAAAGAGTGAAGGAAAAGCGGTGTAATGGATAGATCAATGGGCTAGGATTCTGGAGAACAGGGTTCAAAATCCACTTGGCCATGGACACCCACTGGGGGAGTGGAACTGCTCACTGGGGGAGTGTTCACTCCTTGAATATCTCACCTACTTTGAATGCCCTGTTAGGGTTGCTGTAAGTCAGTTACGACTTGAAAGCATGGAACACACAAGTAGAAAAGAAGTACAGCAAGGAATAGAACAAAATTACAAATGAGCTACATCCCCACCCACCACAAGCAGCATACTTAAGTGGACCGGTATACTCTACAATCCACATTCTGGTACATATGAAGAGCTATCTCCTTTTGTTGCAATAATAAAATACAGCAGCCATAAGTACATCTAATCAAAACACTAGATAGTTACACACAGAGTTTTATTCTGGACTTGCTGGAAAGCCCTTGAAGTTCAAAACAGAGAACCAGAAGCCAGAATGTTCTCACCTTGCTATGGAATATGAACATTGAAAGGTTTTGGAACATTAAGAGTTGATCTGGACATTACATTAAATCCACCACTACAGTGTGTATCTGTTTTAAAGATAGCAACTATGGGTTGGTAAGGAATAAGGACAACAGTGGTATATGAAAGTTTGTTTTTTAAACACCAACCACCTTCCCCCTACATTAAGGACTTGATAAAAATGGTGCCCCTTCCCTCACATAAAAACAATGAATATAATAAACTGGCTAGAATCCTACTGATATTCATGTAAGGACTGTATAACTTGTCATGGCTAACTGTGGTCACTTCTCAGTCCCTGAATATTTCAGTCATGTGTCTGGTCACATGCTTGACTGAAATGTACACTGATATCTCACCAGTTACTCAAATTAACTCTGGCTACTTAGACAAACTTAATGCTAACAATAGGGTTCTGGCCCGTTTATCATGTTAAATACAGTAGACACAACAGATTTCTATTGTATTTAACATTATATTAATAATAATGTGCCATCAAGTCAATTCTGATTTATGGCATCCCTTTTCAGGGTTTTCCAGGTGGAGAATATTCAGAAGTAGTTTATCATTCCCTTCTTCTGGGGACATCCTGGGACTGTGCAGCTTACCCAAGGCCACACAGGTTGGCTCTGCTCACAAGAGAAACGATGGGGAATCGAACTCCCAACCTCTGGCTCCACAACCAGATATCTAAACCACTGAGCTATCCAGCCAGCTGTCACAATATTAAGAGCACTATACAGTATTAAGAACCACAGAATCAACAGAAACACAGCAGAGAGATACAACCCAGCAGAACTGATAAATACAATTAAGACAGAATTGAATGTTGGAAGGCTTAGGCAAATTTATGACTCTACGTGGACAACAATTCTTGTGGAAGTATGTTCTACTGAAATCAATGGCTGTTATTTCCTGGTAAATTTGCTTATGATTCAAATGCTGATCAGTTTGAAAATTAAATCTAAAGTACCTAGATGTTTGCTATCTTCAGCAGGTTCAACTTGTTTTGATAAGGAACTGCTTGTGTCTTCAGGTTTAGGAACTTGTTGAGGACTTCTTGCTCTGTTTAAGAAGCATCCAAAAGTCAAACTGCTCAGTCGTTGGCCTTCTCCAGGCTTCTGTGTCGAAGCGACGGACTTCTTCCCTTGAATCTCTGTGCAGTAATAATTCAAATATCAACACCTAAAGGATTCTGGTGTTATGTGTCATCACAAAAAGAAAAAAGTAGCCATGCTGATTCACAGGCAGGGAAAATCCACAAAGAACAGCTGGGCCATTCTTAATTAGGATAAGCCAAAATGTTATTTATTTTATTTATTCAATTTATACCCTGCCCATCTAGACTGAAGTCTACTCTGTTACAAAACTGTCTGCAGTTTTTCTGATTTTTCTATGCCAAAAGATTTAGTAATTTTAAATGCTGTAAAATAAAAAGTATTTTGACTTCAGAAATGCTTATTTTAATGCTAATACCACTTACTGATAAGTTTATTTATTTCAATACAACTACCAGCATATGTAGGGCCTCAAGAAACTCGGATGGGCTGGTGTAGGGGAACAGCCAACGTTGTCTGGACTAACTCAGACAAAAATGTCCAGCATGGGCAAAAGAAAATCCCTCCTAGTGAATTCACAAGTTATCTTTCTCTGGGTTGTGCAGAATGTGACTCATCCCCTTCAGGACTTCCTGCCTCCCATCCCTCCTTCCTTGCCCATGTGAGAAAGCCAGTGTGCCATAATGGAGAGGCTGATGAACCCAGATACCTGGGTTCAAATCCCTGCTTGACCATGGAAATTCACTGTGTGTGTAGCCCTGATACAACTACTCAAATACAAATCTTGAAAGTCAGCTCCAATGTGGTGGAACATAAACACATTAGTGTTTTAAGTGCAAACAAACTGCATTTTAATATTGCATATTGTCACAAATACCTTTGACAAGAAAAGTAACTCAAATATTAAGTTGCATTCATTACTAGTATAAATAGCCACCACCCGATATTCCCTTCTTCAGCACCAGGACTCTGCTGAAGGTGTCTTTAATCCATAGCAGTGACTTTATAAGAGGCATTATAATGGAGAAGGTCTACAATGTACAAGCATCACTTCCACTTGCACCAGTACCAAATACAAGTTGTTATATGTATGTACTCGTATCCATACTGATATAAAGATACTTGTAGCATTTGCTTGCATTTCTTCCTAATAACAGAATATTAGTACATCAAGTTGCTTTCAGAGAATTTGTATTATTTACCTTGCAATTTAGTTTGCAATACTCTCATCTCTTCAGTTTGGTTCTGATTGATCAGGCGAAGGTTCTGATTCTCTACTTCCAGCTGAAAGCACATAGATACAAGCTCCCACTGATGAGTTAACAATAACATTTTACATCCAAAGGAAAGTCATAATTTTTTTAACCTTCTGAGACAGTTAAGCTAGACAGTACATTTAACTTCTTTTAGAAGAGATGTTCTTTCAAAGGGTAAAAGATATCTGTTTCCTACAGCATGTGATTTTCCTTATCTATATATTTTGCCTTCAGACACGTACATTCCCTTTAATGTCTAGTGTGACCATTATGCAGGTTGCAAACCTGCATTCAAATATGTAGGAGTTCTTTGAATTCAGTGGGGCTTACCTTTAGGTAAATAGATATAGGCCTGTATTATTAAGTGTACCATTTACACAGTCAGCATATGACTCACCTCATGGAGTTTGACAGTCACCCATTCTTTTATCTTAGCTGCTTTTTCTTCTATAATTTTTGCCTCTTGTATTCTTATTTGTTTCTGGAATAACAAAGCAACTTTTTTGACACTTGTAGCTTAACCCTAAAAACCTGCTTCAGCCACCTGAGAGTAAGCTACTTTATGCCTTTGTAATTAAAATGACCCAAAACACTTAGCATGGAAACTACAATCAACTCCGGTGCCCTTACCAGAAGTAGCCTCTACAGGAAAAGAGCAGAATAAAGTGACATCTGCACTTCTAATTAAGACCCAGCTTCTCAGACACACACACAAAAATTAAAACCAAGCCTCCATTCCAGCCACTGAGAATGTTTCAGCTACCTTGTACAAGATACATGTACAGCAGGGGGGGGCATAATTCAGTTGCCTTTAACAAGGCAATAGCTATTTATATTTACATTTATATTTCTGATCATGATTTACTATCTTATAAATTGCTCTCTTTATGGACTCAAACTTTTTCTTTAATTGAAGAATGTTGTAGAGGATAGAATATTTTTCTGTTTCCTTTTTCTGGCCCTTATTTCCTCTACTTAGAGTAAGTGTGGTGTAATGGATAAGTGTTGGACTAGGAGTCAAGAGACCCACATTTCAGCTCAGGCATGGAGACTCTGGGGAGGGGGAATAATAGTGAACGGTGTCTTGAATAACTCACATACCTTGAAAGCCCTATTCAGGTTGCCGTGAATCAGGAGGAACTTGATAGCACACAACACCGCCATTTGTGTATAAGTCATTAAAAAAAATAGGTGAGTACCAATTGTGTCATTTCCAACCTGCTGTAGAAGCTGTTGCTCCAAATTCTGTATAATGTCATCTTTCTCCTGCACCAAAGTCTCCAGATCTTGACACTTTTTATATAGCCTTGTCTCTGACTCACTGGTTTGTACATTAGCTGCTTTTAGTTTTTCCTCCATAATCTGTACCTAGAAGTTAAAAGACAGCATTGTATGCAAAGTCTAAATACCACAGCAGAGTATAAAATAACAGAATGCTAAAATCTGAAATGAAGAATTTTGTTACATAAGGACTGATAGAGCTACAACACTTTGAAAGATAATATTAACTAATTTCAAACTGTATGAAACACACAACGTTCTAGCTGACAGCTTCTCTAGATAGTCCTAAAAGTGGCATAACCATATACTGTATCTGGAAATACGCACTACATCCTTCTATATCCATGTGCCGTCCTGTAGGCCCAACAGCTATAGAAGAAGTAAAAAACAACAACAGTTGTACAAGCAGAGTTCCACACATATATAGTATTATATCATTTTATATTCAATTGTATTACATGTTCATACTGATGTTTTTTAATGTCTGGCTTGATATTTTACAGCATAACTTGACACAGGAAAAGTACTCAGCAAAGTATTCATAATAATGAAGAGGACACAAATTTTTAATATTTACTATATAGTTACATATGGATTGTTGTAAAGACACAAAATTTTACTGAACACTGTAACGGGCAGCCAAGACATCACCTGTCCGTCACAGCTGGGCAGTGAGTCATCAGCCAATGGTGTGACGGAGGGTGGAACTTAAGGGGAGGAG